CAGACGGATACGGCTGCCCTTCTTTATTGTTTCAGAACTTTTCCCTTTTATATATATATATATATATATATATATATATATATATATATATATATATATATATATATATAGTTTTTTTTTTTCATTGCATTAAAAAGGTAGATAGTCATTTTGATCATTATTAAAGCCAAAAGCAAAAGAGAGACCGTTTATATCACACTTTGAAGACCAAGTCGAAACCATATGGGCATACAAAAACATAGCTAGAGCTTTTTAAAGCAGTTTCAACATGAGATCAATAATCGGTGCAGCTTTCAAATGAGTAAAATTGTACATTTTATTGTATTGTTTTTTTTTTTTTTTTTTTTTTTTTTTTGTTCTTATGAGAAACATTCCCCGTCTCTCCAAAATGCAAAAATGTTTTGGCTTTCAACTCTCAGAAACATGAGCTTCTTTAAGATGTGAGGTGCAGGATAAATACCTGTCTTAAAGGGCCGGTGTTATGTATTTAAAAAGGCACATGGTGCCATTTTATAGCACAATCAAGTAACAGTAGTTGCGTTTCCATTGCAAATGTGCTAAAATTTTGTCAAAGTAACACAATTTCGCAGTTTTATGCTGCCATTAAATAAGAGACGCAATCAAAATCCCAAGTGAATAAATTTGTTCGAGTCATTAATAAAATGCGCCACCCAGCTATCCTCCAGATACTTCTTCTTTGTTGTTTGCACCAGACTCAACGTCCAGTTGTTGATCATGTGACTCCTGTGATGAGGAAAAAGTGTTTCCGTTTCAGTTTTGTAAAATAAACCAATTTCTACACGGCCAAAAAAAAAACACACCGCGTTCTAGCGCCAAAACTTGATCAAGTGATACGACATACAATGAATGAAAATGCGGGTTATGTTGCTGTCAGTTGAATACATCAAACAAAACTTTAAAAAAATGTGACTTTGTAATTTTAACGACTTGAAATCAGTCTTTTTAAAAACTCCAGCTCTCTTCTAAACGCCGCCTTCTCAACGTTTCTCCATTTAATCGTTTACAGCCATTCTGAATGTTTCACTGAGAACTAGTTTGTACAATGAGTTCAACAGAAGCACATTTCCACCTGATGTTCGCCAATTGCTGCTGGCTAGTCTGAAGGAGCTTAAAGGGGGCGGTATGGATAAAAAGCAGCACTTGGTGAGACCAAGCGTTTAGGCATCCCCAAATGGTTGCTTCTCAAACATGCATGAAAGAATCAAAGCAATACTCCCTGTATGCTTTGATGATGGAGTAGCATTATGACATCATGTAAATCTTAAAAACAGATCTTGCATAATACTGCCACTTTAAAACCAGCGGTTGTGTTCGAGTTTCGTTTAAAACATACTGGACAGAGTCGGGTTGCTTCTTGGAAAAAGCTTGAACGTGTTTAATAAATTAATAAATCAAGAGGGCATCTCAGAGTGTCATTATGCGCTTTGTCCACCAGATGGAGCGCTGCAACCAGCTCGCCTCAACTCACCAAAAGCCTGACTCCATGTGAATCCACTTTTTTTTTTCTTTCTTACTTTTCTTTGCGTTTCTCCAGATTTCGCTGCTTGTGTTTGCCTCCTCTGAGTTCTCGGCAGAGAGTGGGTGTGTGTGAGTGTGTGAGCGCCCCGCTCTGAGAACAATAGATGTTTTCTATCAATCCGGGCAGCATGCAGTGAGGGTGCAAGTGGATTAGGCAGCTTTAAGTGCCTTTTCACCAAATGACTGGATGGTTCGCTCAGACTCTGTTGTGTTTTCACCTCAGAAGCTTTAAAAAAAACAACCCACACATCTGTAATTTGGCCTTAACGTGACTTCCAGTAGATTTTCAGGAATCCTCTTGTATTTTCTCTTCTCCCCCAGCAGACATGCGCCGTAGTGTTCCACAGGAGAACTCCCTGCGCTGTCATGGACCTGTGAGGCTAGTGTAGGAGGCAGCTGGAAGAAACTGGAGGGAACTGGAGCATCCGCGATCGATTCATTCCGTTTCTCTGTTCCATTTTGTTCCCCTTTAGGAAGACTTGAACCAGATCAGACGACGAGGGAAATCACTCGGCCCTGCGTTAGTGTGTGTGGGTGGGATTTTCCAACATCTCCAAGCAGAGGCTATTTGTCCTGACCTCGCTTCTCTGAAGGGTAACTCTGAGGTTGGAGGGCGTAATTAGTGGATTCAGGCAAGGGGTGATCAACCTTGATAGGCAGCAAGGTGCCTGAATGTATATAGTTTGTGGAACACAGCGATGTGGATGGAAAGGCTGTTATATGTGCGTGTGGGTGGGATTCACTCTGTTTATGGTGGGTGTCTTAAGTGGCCCAAATAGCATAAATACACATTTAATGCTCTTTTTTTCAGCTGTCAGGGTTCGATTTACAGAGAAAGGGGGGGAAACAAAGTGCGTCTTATTTAGATTTTAAGGATTTAATACAAAAACAAAACAAAAAAGATTCAGAATAGTATAAAGACATTTCAAATCATACATTTCACTGTACAGAAAGCAGTCATTCAAAACAATATCCATTCTTTCCACATAGGTTCACTCTGAAAAATTTCAGTAATTGACTCTCTCTGCAAGGTCAGAGCTTTCTGCATTGTGTACCTCTGAAAATTTGCATCTAGTACACAAAAGGTTCCATGCGGAAAAAACGTGGCGGACGAGCAAGAATGCCTCTTGGTTTGCGGAGAAGACAGACATTTTCATGATTTCGTCCGTAAGGAGCACCACGCTCACAGCTGTCTCTATGTTGCCACTGACAGTTTCTTTTTCATTATTATTCTAAGACTTTGTCAGAAATGTACAATAGCATATTAGGACCATTGTAGAAAAAAAAATTTGAGCACATAAAAAGAAATCGCCAAAATTTTCTAAAAAAAGAAAAAACAAAAGAGGAAATTCTTCAACTCAAAGTCAGAAATTTGCTATAAAATGTGCTCAGACATTTTAGAGAAAAAAACTCGGAAATTTCTGAGTTCCAAGTCAAGTTTCGGTTTTTTTTCTACAATTTAATGAATGTTTCTTGGACAGATGAGTCTGAAAACAGGTTATCTGAACACTAGGACAGTTTTAGCACGAACCAAGACAGCATACTAACAGTGAAGCACAGAGGTAGAAGCATCATGATACGAGATCGCTTTGCGACAGTGACTCCTGGCTAGTTCGCCGTCTTAAATTGTGACTAAAACAAGATTATTTGTTCAATCTTATGTTTTTCACCATGTGCCTCTCTACGTTGGTCTGTTACACAAAATCCCAAAGAAATCCAATGTTGTCTTGTGGGTTTAGTCTGATGAAGTTTCAAGGTGTCTCCTGAAGCAGCAACCACAAAAAGCCAGCGTGCAGAACAGAATGGACAACATGACCAGTGGGCAGCCTTCAGTCTGAACTTGACCTCTTAGCAGTTTTACAACACCTAGCCGTTTTCATTACAACTATTTAATATTTAACACCCTCAACACGACTGTACCCACAGTAACCGGAGACAAAGTGGGAAGGTGTGTGTGTGCCACATTAGATATCTTTACTGACAGGAAGCGAAGGCTCGCGGATGTGTGTGTGCGTGTGTGTACGTGTGTGTAACCTGAAGCTGGCTCTCACACTCTATCTGTATTTAGCATCAGTTACCATTGGGTAGGACAATTAGTCACCCAGGAGGGTTGCCAAGCAATTAGATTGGTGGGAAATAGAGAGCGCAAACACATAAGACTGTGTTGAATTTATTTCATTAATTACCTCATTAGAGGTGGAAATGTACAGCGCGTTGTCGAGACAATTTAATTGACAGTTGTAGAGGTTTGGGGTGGAGTTAACGGTCTGATTTAAATAGCTAACATTACTATTGGTATATATTTAAAATGAGGGCCTGCAAACTCCATGATTGACTCAAAACAGGAAAGTGGGAAAATCATCCAGTGAAATGTAACACAAAGAAGCTCCAACTAGATGGACCAACTAGATATCCAATGTAATTCTGGACATGCAGAACCACCAACCTGACATGACTCTGACTATTTAAACCCTACTTTGTGTTTAGCCTGAGAAGTTGGAGAGAAGGCGGGCGCTATTTGTGGAGCTTGGATTGGCATGAGACTGCTGTTGTAACCGCCATCCCGAAGGATTACTTATTGGAGAGGATGATTTTTTTTGCCAAGGCCAATGCCTTGTGTGCTCTTTCTGAATGAATGCTTTCAGAATCAACGAGGAAAGACTCTATTGGTTATTCCCATATCCCAAACTGGACCTGTGCCTCTTCTGGAGCCTTAACCAGAGAAATATTATGTTCTGGCATAAGTTAAGGCGCCCCCTAGTGGAAGTTGATGATATTCCAGGTTGAGTTGTTCAACATGCAGACTCTATTTAACACCAACTCCAAGTGAAAGATAAAAATTAAGTTGTGTAAGAAACATTTTTGGTGCTATCAGGCTCCTGGATGTTTGACCTTTTATTGCCTTTAGGATGAGATTGTTCTCGGTTGCACAGCGTTTTGTCCTACTGGAAGCTTACATCCATCTTACATCTCCTCAACTTTGAGCCCATACCATGATGGTGCCACCACCATACCTTCAGATATGTCCCCTAAAATACTTTTTTTGGTATTGTTTTGGTCTAGATGTTACATTTTCCTCCTGATATTCTTTTAAGTACGACCGGAATCACTTAGCTGGAGATTTTCAAATGTAAAGGAGCAAAACTGCTAGCTTCTTGTCATCTCTTTCAAAACCTCGACACTTTGACCTCATATTTACAAATTTGCTCCACCTAATCTCCTGTTTTTGGAAGAAATACTCCTCGGTTGTAATCTGTGCCGTGATCACTCTTTCCTTGTCTTAAGCTCCATAAAGCCGACCTTTAAGACCTCGCAGGTTTGCGGCTAAGCCTGAACAGAAGGCCCAATAATTAATGAATGTTAGAAGGTCCAATAATCTCTGCTTGGCTCCTGTAATTCCTCAGCCAAGCGCCCAATCAGGCGCCCCGCTCTCCTACCCATGAGTCTCCGGTGCAGTGGCTTTAAGTAAGTGTGCACAATAAGCAGAGAGGTGCAGAGATTGTGCGATCCCACCGGCCGTTTGGGAAAGACTCTTATCCTGGAAGAGCTAAGCTTCCACTGAGCTGAGGATTGTTGTTGTTGTTCCTCGCAGCCAGGCACCATGGCCGACTGACTGGACTCTCACAGGAAACAGGAAGTCAGTCGGAGCCGAGGTGACATGGCTCTCCGCCGGTCGCCTTCATCCACCTGTGCAGGTGAGTAACCAATAGGAAACGTTCTACTTTCTCCTTTGTGTGGCCTGCCCCGTCCCGTCTGTCTCTTCCTGCCTCCACACAACAAAAGATGGATGCCGCTGGGTGTCAGCCGACCCCATGGGGGTTTGGGGTGGCATCACGAGCTCAGGTGTACAACTGTTTAGTTTCCTTCAGACTTTGATATACCAGCATGCCTTGTTGGTCCATTTGATAGCCCAGCGATTCAAGGTCAACTGTAAACCAGGCGAGCTACCTGAGATTTCTGAGACGTTTATTTTAGTTGGTAATATAGAACAAATACTTCATTTGATTTGATTTTTTTAATGGGCAGTATTATGTGTTTTGCAGGCCGTTTTATAGCAAAAACAACTAACTGTTACCTTTAGTTGTTATAAAAATGATATTTTTCAAATATGACTTTAAAATTGACTCTCTGTTTTGGGCCTCTGTCACTTTAAGAAGCTCCTGCTCTTTCTGAAACTCCGCCTTCAGGAAGTCATCACAACATGGCTCCTCTGTTAACCCTTTAACAACATTTTCACCTGCCCTGCGCTGTAGCTCCAATACAAATGACCCTCCAAAAAAACCAGTGACTCTAACCCCAAAAAAATGATTCAAGAAACGTTATGAAATAAACAAAACCATCGTATGTCCAGCATTATTTCCATGTGAATTTCAGACAATATCTGAATCCCAGAACCAGTCAGAAATGGACACATGCAGACTCTGATTCCCAGCTACGTTCAGATGTGGAGATGCCTCCACATCTCAGCTGTAGCTTCAGATCCTTCGGTCACACAAAGACGCCTGCAGCTGTAGTGCATCAGTGTTCTCTCTGCTCGGCAGTTAATAACACGAAAACCAAAGTCAAACCGGCCTCTGGCTGAAGTGTCCATACAATCAGTGAGACAACATGTGATAAAAGCGTCAGCATGGAGGCTTTGTGCCATGCTGCTGCCGCCGCTGCACATTATCTGCTCCCTGGAAGATGGCTTTTGTCTCTGCCATCACAATCAAGTGTGAAAATAGAGAGAAAGAGAGATTTTTTTTCAGAGTCAGATGGAAAGCTAAAAGAGGCACACTTAAGAGAAATCTGTTATATAGCAGCATATTGTGGCACATATAGCACAATAAAGTAACTGTTCAGTTGTTATACAAATGCAACATATCATCACCTTACTAAATTAAAGGCCAACGTCTTTTTTTTTTCTTTTTCCCGAAACTGATTTTTACAGAAAAATAAAAATCACCATGTCTTTATTGCCAAAAAATACAGAATTACAAAAATCACTTTTGACAAAAGATTTTTTTTTTTTTTTAGTAAAGTGGTGATATACTGAATAGGACTTTAAAGAAAATTGACTTCGTAATGCAGCATCTTGAAATTGGGCCTCTGTCTCTTTAAGACGTTCCTGCTCTTTATGAAACTCTGCCTTCAAGATTTCATCACAGCATGGCTCCTCTATGAACCCTTCAGCAACATTTTTACCACTGTTCCACTGACTAGCAGCTCAGCTGATGCTCAGTTCCACCGGGTGTTTGCTAATTGCTGCTGGCTAGTCTTCAGGAGCCGAGTGGGGAGGGCTGTACACTGAGTTCACTGAGGCAGAAGTTTGGTATTTTGGAAGCATTTCAAAGGCAGGACTAGGTCAACTCATGCATTTTGCACAGCTGAATGGTTGCCGTGGAGATGAAATGATTTCTAAAAGATGCATGAAAGAATCAAAACAACACACCAGGTATGTTTTTGATACCTGGTGTAACATTATAACATGATGTGTTATAATTATAACATTATAACATGATGTGTTATAATTATAACATTATAACATGATGTGTTATAATTATAACATTATAACATGATGGGTTATAATTATAACATTATAACATGATGGTTATAATTATAACATTATAACATGATGTGTTATAATTATAACATTATAACATGATGTGTTATAATTATAACATTATAACATGATGTGTTATAATTATAACATTATAACATTATAACATGATGGGTTATCATTATAACATTATAACATGATGGGTTATAATTATAACATTATAACATGAGTGTTATAATTATAACATTATAAACATGATGTGTTATAATTATAACATTATAACATGATGTTTATAATTATAACATTATAACATGATGTGTTATAATTATAACATTATAACATTACATGATGTGTTATAATTATAACATTATAACATGATGGTTATAATTATAACATTATAACATGATGTGTTATAATTATAACATTATAACATGATGTGTTATAATTATAACATTATAACATGATGTGTTATAATTATAACATTATAACATTATAACATGATGGGTTATCATTATAACATTATAACATGATGTGCAGCTAAACCAAAGGTAAATCTACGTAATACTGCCTCTTTAAAGGAAGCTGGTTTCAATGGGAACTCCAGTTTTACTGATGCCCTGATTTATATTTATACTTTTGGGATTACCGCAATCATCCAAAACCCCCCCCTCATCTTCCCCCTCCCACCAGACGCAACCTGGCGACCTCCCAGTAACCGAGTGACCGCGCTTATGTCAGTCTGCTGCCTTGAAATGTTTTCAAAACACAAGTACGACCCTTGACCTCAAGGCCTCCTTTGTTGTCGCAAGCGAGAAACAAATGGATTTGAATAATTTTTTTAAAAAAAAGAAGGAAAAAAACAAAAAAAGCAGAATACATGAAGAGAGCTGTCCATGGTGCTGAAATGAGAGCGCTGCTCGTGGCCTGGTGCGTTACTATGGCTACAGCTGTCTGTATCCCTAAAATAACCACACACACACACACACACACACACACACACACACACACACACACACACACGCACATGCACAAATGTGGTAACCTTATTACAAAGAGAGAGAGGAAAAATAGCAATCTGCTTCTGACAGCATGGCAATCAGACAAAGATGGAGGAATATCTGTTTTGTTTAGAATCTTTTAGAGAAGCAGCAGGAGGAGAGGAGGCGTCTCTAAACACTCAGCAACAAGTCTACTGATGTTCACCTCTACTGTACAGGAAAACCTCAACCAGGAAGTTTGTGGAAGCATTGAAATGCTCCACGTTTCATCATGTCAGAACTAAAAAGTATTTATTGAGCGTTTCATCATGTGAATGTGCAGTTAGTTTCTCCCCCACTTAATACTCTTTTGAGTTTTGACCTGCTCCACATGTCTTCCATACGCGGCTTGTGGCTAATTGCAAACAAGGTCGCTTTATTGTTTATACGGCAATATATTCTTCCACGCCAGATGACGACGTCTGCAGCTCCTCCAGAGTCAGCATGAAGCATTGTCTTACCCTACACTGCTTGTCTTACAGTTTAGCTACACGCTCATGTTTGGCAGGTAGCTGTGTTTCTGTCGCCCATATAATTGTGAAATTAGAAATTTCACAGTAACTGACACTGGACTGAATGCTGCTCTGCTTTATAAGTCGAGCAGGTGGAAATACCTCTGCAAGACGCTGCGTGTGTCATGTTTTCATTTTCCTTTTCTCTTGTTATTCAAGGAAAAACTGAGAAGTGGGCTTTTCTTCCTTTCCATTGTGCTTTTAGACTGGCTTTGTCACTGACTGACACGCGTAACAATTTGCTCAGTGGGAAGCGAAGCTTTCACCCAGTCACTTAGCATCTCTGTAGCACCGAGGAACACTTAGCATCACTTAGCATCAGCTGGAGAGGAAGCCAGGATCACGAGAGCCGTCGCCACGTCTCTGCAGCAAAGCTCCGCTCTAACACAGGCCGTCGCTCTCATGCTATGGTTTGCCTTTTTAAGGCTCTATGTTTATACACTTAAGTCACTTAAAGTCTTAGTTTGATATTTCTGTGTTTTTCTTCATCATTGGGTAGATTTGTTTCTGTTTTTTTCCTGTCGCCAGTAGAGTGGTTTGCAGCCTAACTTGGATATAAAAAAAAGTCGCCCTCTGAAATTTTTTTTTCCCTTTTTTTTTTTTTTTTTTTGCTTTAATTCTCTTTTCTTTCTCTGAAACTACCTTTCGCATTTTTCTTGAATGTAAGCAACTTTCACTGTTGCTTTTTCTGTCGGAAGATGTTTTGAACAAATGTTGGTGAAGTAGCTTTTACATTTGGTGAGGGCTGCACAGAACAGGTGGAAATTGTTACATTTTCCACCTGTTATTTTCAATTTGCGTTAAATGAAATGAATGAAATGGTGTTTTGGTGGAAAAGTTGATACTGTTTGTCCTAATGGTAGAAAAAACAGAGTAAAGGCTAAATTTTTGTTTTTTCAGTGATGAATAACTTGATTGAGGTTTTCTCTGTGCTGCTTAATGTTCTTTGGTTGATGGAAAGTTAGTTTTAACTCTGTGTTTATATGAATGTTAGGGTGAACTATGTCAAAATGTATTTTTAATGAAAAAAAAATTTGTTAAAGTAAAACAAAAAACTTGTTTTGCTTTTTTCCCCTTCTTTCCTCATTCTTTCTCTCATGTTTTAAAAGTATAAATTGAACTGATTTAATAATGTAGATGTCACCATGTTTATGTTTATATTCTATATATTTGCTACTGGCTTCAATGTTCTGGTTATCATGTCCCAGACTCTCTCAGTCATGTACGACGACTCACTTTCTGGATGAAATGTCTTGCAGAGCTGGGGTCCAACGGCGCGGGGTTCAGCCGGGTGTCCACCGCGCTCAGTGAGTCCTCGTCCATCTACAGCGATCCCCCATGCACCCTGACCCGGGACGCCTCCGGCACTGGGCTGCGGCCCCGCAGCGTCCTGGAGCCTAAGGGTCACCAGGAGGAGGCCACCGCTGAGGAGTCTCAGAGCCTACTGCAGGTAAAGGGAGCCTGGAGCTTAAACTGTTTCAAACATCTGAGTTTATTCTTTCTCCATGTAGTTGCGCAATTTGACATTTCGAAAAGAAAATTGCTTTATGGAAACGTGCTAATTTAAAAACAACCCTAAAAACGTGCTTTTCAATAAAAGGTTTTGCTGCTGGGATGAGGTGTTTTTTTTTTTGTGGTCACAATCAAAATTGGTTTATTTCACAAAACTGCAACTGAAACATTTTTCGCATTATGACTCACACGATCAACAACCCTCTTCCACACCCACTGGGTCAACAACATCATTTTAAATGCCACAATTGCAAAATGATCTTTTTACCCCCCAAATGGCGGACTACTGACAAAGTTTTGTGCGCATTTGTAACGGAAATCGCAGCCACTGTTTCGATGAGACAGTAGGTCATGCAGAAATAAGAGAAAACTCTTAAACTGAGCTAATGATGAAATATTTTCTGTGTTGGCAATGCATTTCATCTCATTGCAGCATTTAATGAGATGGCGAGAAATGTCTCATTAGAAGCACTGGAGACGTCACTGCGATAATGATAGAGGCATACTTTGTTTTGGGTGCTCATGCTCTGGATCTATGTAAACAAGTCCACTTGATAATAAAGCAGGTTTTATGCGAAACAGAATGAAGCCGATGCGAGATTTAAGCTAGTTTATGGTGAAGGCTGATGTCACAGGGACTTTGTTTAGAATGTTGGGAATGAATTTTATTTAATGAGCCCATCCTGTTTCTGTAGCACAAACTAAATCTGCAGTACACAGGGGAGTGGTTGTTTCTGTTTCGAATATTCATTAGTGTGGGAAGTTATATTACTTCATTAATTAAATCATTATTTGAAAACTCCTCTTATATAAGTGGATTATCTATGATGAATAAAAAAACAAAAAAAAAACAATTGTTTGGTCGTCTGAAATATGTGCGTCAAGATAAAAAACAGAATAATTTCATTGACACTGAAACGTTGCAAGCTTCTACAAGAAGTTAGGAGAGAAACAGGTTTAGCTCAATGAACTCTAGTTTCTGGCTAGTTTTTTTTAATTGATCTACCGGAAAAACCCTGAAATAATAAAAAATAACACAACTGAAGCTGAATTTCTGCTTGCTAGTGTTGTTTCTATACAGAATAGCACTAGCGCTACAACACAACCAGCTGCTACAGAAGATGAATAATGTCCATTTTAAACCTCAGTGACTCCTTGCTGGAAAGGCCAGGGTTACAACACAAAACAAACATATTTTGTTTGATGTTGGTAATATTCTAGTAGAAAAGGGCTGACATAAAAACAATATGCAACTGAACTCGAATTTCTGCTAGAATTAGGAAGCTAATGCTGGTGCTAAACAAGCTAGCATTAGCGCTGTAACATAGCCAGCAGCTGCAGAGGATTAGGCGGGAAAAAAAAGCAATTAAAATCTCATTGGCTAGTTTTACAACATTATTTTTATACTTTTGTATTTCATTTCGGTATTCTGGTGAAACCCTGAAATGACAAAATAAAATAAAATGACACAACTGAATCCATATTAATTTAGCAATATTTAGGTTCAGGCGCTAATGCTACACAAACTAGCATTAGCTCTAATACAGACCTATCTGCTACAGAAGATTAGAAAAGAACCGAGGTCGCAGTTAAAACCTCCTTAAACTTTCTTAAACTTCCTTCTAAAGCACTGAATACATCTGCGAATCTCTGTTTCACTTAATGAATGACTGGAATGACTGTAATTGGGGATGTATGTAGTTTAAAGCGTTGACATTTCCGCTCCAGCGAGTTTCACTGTGGGAACGCGAGTATCAGCCAATCACATCACAGAGCGGCGAAGAAGGCATTTCTGCACACTGCAAAAAAACACCCTCAACATCTTTTACTCAAACTAAGCAGGAAAAAAGTGTCAGTAACATGACAGTTTCTCCTTCTAGTTGTGTTTTTTAACTATAAAAACAAAAATCTAATTGGGTTTGAATTAGCTTTTTTTTCCCACCAACGCTAAAGCGACCCGATAGTTTGAGATGAGTTGGTTTGTGTGTGTGTGTGTGTTTTTTTTTTTTTTTTTTTTTTTTTTGCAGTGTGTAGAGCGCAGTCGGCGCGCGAGGCAGCCTCCACATCACCCAGTTGCGTAGAAGAGTGCGGAGCGGCTCGCATCACCTGACTCTGCATCCCTCTTGAAGCCCAAAGCGATGAGAGCCGGAGCGCAGGGGCCGGGGCTCCTGCTGCTGGACGGGGGACGAACCGGGCCGAGCTCCGGTGTTTAGCGGGGGTCGAAGAGGGCTGGGGCGATGGGGAAACCGGCGGGGGTGATGAATTCCGCTGCGTTTTACTGCAAAACCCGGCAACTTTCAATCCCAGTCTACTTCTTCTTCTCCTCCTCTTTTTCCCGCTCCGTGTGTGTTTGAAGAAGCGCAACAGTATGCAGGTCTCCCCGAGCGAGGACAAGATCCCGGTAAGCAGCGGGGCTCTCCCCCATCCGCCGACCCGCTTCCAGTTTGAGCTGCTTTTATTGGAGTTTAAAAAACCCCAACAACACCAGCAGCTGTACTTTTAATCTGTTTTCACCTTGTGTTACACGTAAATGTCCTTTAAAAAGTCCTTCTCACGTTGTAGCTCTTAGTTGCGGGTTCGGTTCCCTCCGCCTCCAAACTGATGCTAAACAGTCCCGTAAAATCCTGAGTAACTGGCGAAAAGTCCTTTCATTTGTATAACGTGGCTGTAAATGAACATCGACTGGATCTAAAAGTGAGCATGAAAACACGCTCAGGACCAAAGAAAAAAAAAACAAAACATCTGTACAAATAGAAATTTCTGCTGATGACGCAAATTTTCAACCTAGAACGTCTTTACTTGAATATTTCGCATATTAATTTATGCTTTGACATCTCGTCATTTTTTGCCAAAAGCGATTTCAAAAAAACATTTTTGGGAAATAGTGGTGGAGATTTTTTTTATTTTTTAATCACTTCTGGCGATATAAGATTGAAGCCACTATTTACATATGTGACAATGTTTTTATGAGCCATTATGTTGCTCCAATTGCTGGTGCATTTATATTCGCATGCAGAACTAGAGGTGGTTCTAGACCAAATTCACCAGGGTGAAGGGGATGGGGGTAGGGGCAGTGTTTTGTTTTTTTACAGAACAAAACAAAAAAAGGGGTTAAATTTCATTGTTTATTTTTAAGAGAGCCAAAGAGCCACTTGTGGCTCTGAAGTTGGCGTAATTTATTTATTTTTGTTGAAGTTGTAGATTTCTCTGTATTTTCTAGACTCTACTCATTCCCTCGTTGGGTCAAAGTCTTCTGAAAGGCTCCAAACCTTTTTTAGCTAAAGCTAAAGAAAAATAAAATAACTTTTATTAAACCTGTATTACCATGATCTGATGCAAGAATGCTGTCAGTTTCATGCTCAGCGCTGATACAGATGGAGATACTTCTCACTTTTCCTCACTTTCCTTTGTTCCTGTTTTATATTCATGAGAATACTAACCATCAATACCATGGTTACTGCAGACCATTTATGACGTAATAAAACGAAGTCCTGCTGAGGATCATTACGGGCCCTCGGGGAGTCCCAGGGGACCAAATCCCCCTGAGAGCTCCTTAAGCTTTGGCTAAGACAAACATCTGTGCCTCATAAGCTTTCTAGGTACTGGCTAGATCAGTCCCAGTGGGACTCTTCTCAGAAGTCTGCTTTACATATTTCCAAAAAAAAGGGAACAGAAGTGTCAAACAAACAAGAGACCTCAGGGAACGTTTCAGGAGCTCAACTGTGTTGGCAGCATGCATCCTGCAGAGATGGACGTTTCTGGCTCAGTGGGTAGAGCTCATTAACATACACGTATGTTTTTAAAAAAAATCCCTTTGCATTTGAATTTGAAATCTGAACTTCTTGGCTGCCAAGAGGAATGCCCAACTTTAGATCCAAATGTATGTGGGTGACATTTATTTTTATCCACACCAAAAATGTGCAGGAACCATCTTGAATTCTTACATTTGTTCTCACATTATACTGAAAATCTAGTTTCTTTAACTTGCAGCCAAATGAGCTGGACAATAAAATCATATTTCTAGTTACTTGGTCATTAGAATATGAAGAATTTACTTTCTTTTAAATTGCTCTATTGAACTTTCTATGACAAATAAAGTCGCTTACATTTTCTTTCTGTCAACACCCTCAACTGATTACATGAACAAGTTTGAATTAAGAGTGTATAATCCATAGGACGCTCACACTGTTTCACATTTATCTGTGTTTAAAATCGCTTTTCAGGCTGAAGCACATTTCGTGAAACATCAGTTCCAATTTTACGTCAAGAGGAAGTGTCCAAAATTGTTAATCGTGTGTTTCCTTGTTGTTCAAACGATTTATTTTTATGACCATCTGTTGACTTTATTTTAATGTAAAGCCAAACAGCAGTTGTAGAAACTTAGAGCTGAAGTTCAATAAAACATGAATACTGTATTTTATTGGCAATAGCAGTAATGTTGCAGTTAAATTAAGTTCACTTAGTAGTTAATTATTTTCACTTAGAGGAGTGAAAATAAATGAATTTAACTTGAGCTAAATCTCGGTTTTCCTTGCTTTTATTTCTGTACAAGCTAGCATTAGCATTGGAGCACATGCGGCTGTTATGGAGAAAAACTCCCATAAGCCATTGCTTCAAAAACGTATGAGATTGTAAATGTTACATTGGTTTAAGATTTACTAAACATTGTCAGGGTACACTCTTCTAACATTCTGGAGATTGGGGCTTTATTTTAACCTCGCACAAATCTCGCGTAGACAGTTAGCTGTTAGCTCTGGCTAACAGCTAACAAAAGTGTTTAGACTTTAACACACACACAAAAGCTAACATCAGTGTAGACACAATTTTGGTTGCTCACAACTTTCTTTCAGAGCTCAACACCTAAAGAGAAACAAAATCGTCAATTTCATTTTTTTTTTATTTTATTTTTGGGTCAAATAAAAACGGGGAGCTCAGGAAACTGGACCTCACCCCTGGACACCCAATAGGCAAACGTAAAAAATACAGCTAGACTTGCGAGAACGTATTAAATTAAGTGTCTGTATCTGTATAACCCAGTTGGAACAATAGTGATCATTTCAACCAATAGGGTAGTTTTAAAATTTTAATCATTCCATAGTCCAACCATCCAGGGATATTACAATTTACAACCCTGTGACTAAGTAAAAATCCTCACATCAGGCTGGTGTCTGTACATTTATACCTCTTGCTGCTTCCACGTTTAGTCTCCCTCTATACTTCCCCCTCTCTAAATAAAGACTAAAACAGGCAAAGGTGAGCTGACTGCCCACTCTGCAGCTGAAGGTTCTCACTTCATTGTTTTTGAGGATCTGCCAAAAGCCACTTGTGTCTGCCTGTGCTGACACAGCATCAGATGTTTAAGTTTGTTCAGTTATTGCATAATTCCCCCGAAGCCTAAAGGTTTGGTTTGTCTATTTTTGAACAATCTGTGTTTGACTTGTATGCCTCATTACGACTACATCCTGAAGGAATGATAGTTTGGGGCTGGCCTTACTGAGGCTCTGATGCATCTTTTCACAGGTTGTAGACGCACCTTCAAGCCCTCAAGCCAGCAGCGAAGGTCAGTACTTTTGCGATGGCCTGCGGAAAGTGGACTACGTTTTGGTTTTTCATCACCGGCGGCACGGCTCCCTGCGATCCACCGGCGCTGCCTCGGTTTCGCAGGATCAGCTGTCCATCGTGTCAAACGGCAACTTCCCTCCTCCGTCGGGCTCCTCCGACGCAGCGGCCGGACGAGGAGCCGGCCCCCGCAGGGAAGAGGCAGCGAGCGCCGGGGAGGTGTTCATGGAGCTCGGAATGGCGAGGGGCGGCGAGCCGATGGAGGCCGCCGACCACGAGATGCACCTGATCAGACAAGAGTTTGAGGCCAACCTCCTGGAGGCGGGGCTAGAAGTGGAGAGAGACAGAGAGGTGGGTGACCTGCTAATGACCGGTTTTGGTTTTTGAAATTCACTTGGAAAGACTCTTGCTTTTCTGTCTTCCTGTCTTGCGTCTGAAACTGTTCCAAGAGTGGCAACCAAATTGTGTTCTATTGAATAAATTTGAACCTAAATTTATTCCTTCAGAATGGGTTTTCCAAAATTATTGAATCACTCAACATTGGGTAATCACATTGTCGTTAGTTCAGCCTCCCCCTAGTTACAATAGTAATGGATTAACCCCTGGATTAGGGACCAGGGGATTGTACCATGCATGGTATGGTCTCTGTTTTTCAGGTCTTGCCAATGAAAACTTTATAGAACCTCACGAACCAATCCTCTCATGTAGTTAGAGCAACAACCTGAAACCAGATGTTTGGGTTTCCTGTGTCACATTCATCCATTTGCAACATTTAGTCAGATTATGCTGATTACGAAATGTGCTGAAGACATTAATTTTGGGTCATATTTAGAGGGTTTTTGTCTCCCAAAGCAGTTCTGGGTTTTATAGGTCAAAGGTTTCAACCAAATACGGGTAAAGGCGTATCTGTCTGATGAATGCCTCTCTTGCTAATCGCTCTGAGCTGGGATATGTTTTAAGGATTTTGTTTTTTTTTGTCACCCGATAGAAGCTGTTTTGAAGCTCAACCTGGGCAGTCTGTGTCTGATCGTAGAAGCTTTATAGAGACTGCTGTGGGTTCCGTAAAGACAATTTAGAGTGCTAATGACTTCCTTTACCATTTTGCAGCCTGGTTTCATGGTGAAGTTGCTTGGACAGTTGGACCTGAGCATGTTGGTAGTTGTTTTGAATGTCCTCCACTTGATGGTGTCTACTTTCTCTTGGGTTCTCTAACAATTTTCCCATGAGTGTAAATTGCTTTTGATGCAATGAAATCTGGGCTTATGGTGATGATACGGGGCAGACTGTAATTTCAGCCAACACAGCTGCTGTTTGGACCTCGTAGTGTCGATTAACTTACTACCCGCCTGAAACGGCGGGTAATCTTATTTTGACAAGATCGCCTTCTCTGTGGTCCATTTTGTGTGTCTCTTTGCCCTAACTTGGAACGAGCGGCAAATAACACAAACGCACTTCTTGTGAAGGTTGAGTGTAAATGGACCACCTCTGCACTCAAAAGTGAGTCATGTAGAAAAATTAACAGTAACTCCCTTAGCATTAGCTTTTCAGACCTGTGCTGCTATACAAATAAAAGTGTGTGCATGTCCAGAAGTATGCCGGTGTTGGCCAGCAGCCAGTTGGTAGTGTGAGTACTCCCCAGGGTTGTATTAATCAGACTGTTGACATGGCTGCTATGGAACCAAAGCCAGTAGAAGATAAGCTGACTGACTAATGGCTCCTTATCTCATCTCATGGATTGAGGTTTAGATTAGGTCTGTCATTCACAGTAAAGGAATACTTTCATTCTAATATTTCTTCCATTTGCATATGGGAAAGGTAGTATTACAAACTTAGTTTCATGTTTATTTATCAGTGTTCCTGCAGTTTATACTTGGATCGGATGCTCTGTAAACAACCTTGTGAGGAGGAAAGCTGTGACGACTAAAATGGCTTCAACGTTCCACTTTCTCCGACTTTAATTACTCAATATTAGAGCCAACGCACACTGAATGGCTTTGTTAACTTTCTCCGCTGACATTGCCAAACTGCAACCTTATAGAGGAAGGCAATTATAAAAACAAGGTAGGAAAACAACGTCGCTGCGCACAATTTCCCTTTCTTCTTGCTGACTGGCTCGGTTGAAGTTCAGCCGGAGAAGTCCTGCTCAGTGGCAGAAATCCTATCGAAAGGAGATAAAAATCAAGTGAATTTAGAACGCCAACGACTAGGTTAGCTGATGGCGCTAACTGCTGTAGTTCCACTTGCACCTCTCTGCTTTTGATTTGCCTTTTCACCGTTTCAGCCTTGACACCTGAATGCTACAGAAATATGGCTGGATGTGTCCTCATCCAGCCATATTTGATTTCTTGCTATGACTCCAAATATGAGCAAACTGAGGCGATGAGCAATGCTAGGCGATCTTGTCTTCCCTATTTTTGAGGAAGCTTAAAATAAACGGGTCTCTGTGTCACGTCATAGTTGTCCTCCAGGGAAACAAGAAGTGATTAAAAAAACCAAAAAAACATTTGAATTCCATTTATTTTACTGAACTTTTGCAAGCGTCAACTTTTCAAAGAGCCCTCCTTACACTATTAAATTAAAGTTAGTATTCTTCTTAAATGTTGGTGTTCCTGTTGATATTAATTCTGATTTTATGGAAAGGCTTTTTAGGCATCTTTATTAGGGAGCGTGTCAATAAACGTGGAGGGTGCTTCACTATTACATCCTGTCCATTCAAATATAATTAGTGGAAACCAACAAACAAATAGTAAATATATTTACATCACACAGAGCATTAGCTGCTGTCTGCTTAGCTCGTGTTCGGATTAGATGCATTTTAATAACCATTTTAGTTCAGAGGGATTAAGGTTAATCATAGAGCTGGGTTACAACTGTGTGATTTAATGAGTGCAAAATCGGATTAACACAAAAACAAGGAATTTGAAATATCTGCAGTTTAATTGAATGTCTACGGCTCAAATTGAGGTTAGTAAATTAATCAATTAGGAATATTACAAAAAGAAACAAGTCTTTCTTTGTAGCAGAGGTGAAAGGAGACATCCGCCTCCCGAGGCAGAAAGACACACAATATTATGACTAGTTGGATGGACTTAAAAATTCGACAGGAAGCTCCAAGGATAATGCGAACTTTAACTGGATTAGCAGCTAGTGGTTAGCGGTGCAGGATTGTCTCATTCCTAACAAAACAAAACAAGAGCATTTCGTTTGGCATTCTGTTAGTAACCAAAATGTTACCAGTTAAATCACCCAAAAGGAACTTTCTTAATACCGATATAACCTAAAGGTGTCAGCCAACCTGAAGCTGGTGGCTAACGCCTATAGCAGCTACTGGTGGTCTCAATTCTAACAAAATGATTTTAAAAAGTTTTTATAATAATTAATTCAAAAACTGCTTGCTTAGTAACACGCTGTAAGTTCAAACTGGCTTTTTTAGCTTAGTAGCACGCTGTAAAACATTTGAGATACATTTAGTTGTGTCTACTAACTTCTACTTTAAGTCAAAGAGTGCTCACAAGTTTTGGATTTTGAACTTAAACGTGAGCTTGTAAAAGATAAACCTACAGTAGTAAGCTGTCAACTTTTCATTAATTTGGTCATATCTCCAGGAAGTGAGTAAATGACAGAAGAACAGAATGAGGCGACTTTTTCAGATTATTAATGATGACGTAACATAAGAGGGGAAAAAAAGCTCACCAAGTAATCTCAATGTTTGCTTACTTGCCTGCGTTATTGTTTGCTTAAATGAAACAAGTCGGCTTATCGGTTGTGCAGCGTGTTTCACTTCGGATTAATACGGATAGTGAAAAACCAGCTGGCACCACTTGTTGACAGAACCTGTGGATTAACACAATGACCCCTGCTCTCCCAGGAGCGTCCTCCTACAGATGAAAGTTAATTAAATAATCAAGAAGTGGAGCTTGGACTTTAATTGAATGCTTGTGGCTCAAATTGAGGTTAATAAGTCCAATCTGTTGGGACTAGAAACAGAATAAGTAAGGAGGAAATGTTTGTTCATAAAATGTTCAACTAGTCAAGTGGGACTGTATATAATTAATAATAGCTAATAAATGGTTCTTTGGTTTCTATAAAGAAAGTGATTTGATTACCCTTGAAAATTGTGACTGTTTTTGTGATTAAAAGGATCAAAATGATGTATTTTATAGCAAACAGAAAGTTACATTGGACGTTCTGCCGGTTCTTGGTGCCATAAGTGTACATTGTCCTATTATCTAAATTTGGATGTTTTTATATATTTCACTATGAGATTATGTTATTTCAATAAAATCTAGGTTTATTTTCAATGCTTTTTATACATCTTTTAATCATAAATGTGGGAAGCACTTTAATGTGTAAGGTTTGAGGGTCTAAAATTTATTAGTCTTAAAGGGGCAGTACCAGTATGTATTTTCCAGGGACAAAGTGCCATTTCATAGCACAACCAGTTAGCTTCAGTTGTTATAAAAAAAATGCTCTGTATTTACACCTTGAAATTGGGCCTGTCTCTTTAAGAAGCTCCTGCTCTTTCTGGAACTCCACTTTGAAAATGTCATCACAGCATGGCTGCTCTATTGAGAGAGTGATGGGGAGTGGGAAGGAAAATTTAAAAGTAAAAAATTAATAAACTGATCAACCAGGTGCTAATCGTTCCCCAAGTAGATCAACCCAAATAAAAAGAAAAAAAATTCTATTCTTAATCATAGGAAGTACATAAATGTAGCATATGCTAGTCAGGGGAGTGAATCCTACACAGCCCAGAATACTTTCCTGCTCACATCGTATACGTATGCACTACCTCCATTTTGCTTGTAGAGACCAGTTATAAGGCACTAAACATCACATCAAACATTTTCTCTGACTCCTCAGTAGCACAGCTGTTGTTGTTACATGCAGGCAGGTAGAGTGCGTCACCTCGGCATACTGATTGTTTGTTTTTATTTAATATGAACAAGATATTCAGTGGAAGTGCAAAGAGATGATTGAAATGGACAGAATCATGATGAGATGCTTTAGTTACAAAACTACTGCTTTACAGAACAGCACAGTCCTTTTTAACCACAATGGCAGGGTGTAAGTTTGTTATGTAACACCTGAACTAGGAGCTCAGCTCACTAATCTTCAGTCTGGATATTTAAGGACAGTACTGTTGTTGTGGTTGGCCTTAACTGACCCAGGGTGGAACAGTAAAGCAGCCAACCCCGGGCTGTCTGGACCATTTCCAGGCTAACGTTAAAGCTGCAGTATGTAACTTTTATGAAAATATGTTTGTTGTCTTTTCCATTTTTGAACTGTCAATATGTGACGACAGTTCGGTATGAGACAGATAATCTATGAAGAAATCCATCTTGTCCACCTTCTCCCTGAGCTGCTATTACTGTTGGAAGAAATGCAGTGTTCCTGACCAAAAACAACCAATCAGAGCCAGGAGGAGGGGCTTAGTGGCTTAGTGTTGTCAATCACCTCCTGTACAATGTGCTAATGGCAAAGAAACAATTTAACATTACTGGAAAACTGCATCAGTGGCCTTGCTAACTGGCCTTAACATTGGTGGAAAACTATGCTGTGGTGAACCAGCGGTAGCTTAGCAGAGAGCAAAAGGGAGGAGCTGAGCATAAGAGTGATTGGCAACGCTAAGATCCTCCTCCTGGCTGTGATTGTTGTTTTTCTGCAGCTAATACTGCAAGAAGGCAGAGGAGCTTTTTTTCACATATCATTTGTCTGTAATTGTTCTGTCACAACATAATGATAATTTTAACAAAATAATTTGTGAAAAAAAAAGTAAAAATAAAAGTTACATATTGCAGGTTTAATGTTGTATGTTTTCAAGTCCTGTTTGTTTCATTCAGTAAAAAATTTTAATGACATTTAACATCTTGAAATTGGGTCTCTGACTTTTTAAGAAGCTTCAACGCTTTCCGACACTCCCGTCATCATGTCATTACCAACAACGCATCTCCATGATGCTGTTTAGCAGCCATGGGAGATCCAATGATTTCTAAAACATACATGAAACATTCAAGGCAACACTGTAGGCATATTTTTGATGAGGAAATACGATTATAACATAATAATTTTTTTAATAGTACCGCCCTCTTAAGAGTTATGTTTTGCAGGCTTCTTCTCATGAACCTTTTGGTTCCAACATCAGACCATCGGGATATACATTGTTTACTGAACCAATGCCAGTTTGCACAAAGGTCCAGAAGTTTCAGGATTAACATTAAAGCTATAGTACATCAGGCAGTTACCAAAGCATCCCACAGTGAATCAAAACAGTAAATCCACAGGTAGCCATCGGCTCCAGCACTGGAAAATTGTGCCTTACAAATGACCCAACACTGTACACCGCTAACACAGGGCAGTTGCAAGAAATGCTGTTTCACAACAGCTTCCAAAATCACGTCGTACAACATCCAATCCAGTCTCCACACACACAGAGGCTGATATCACCTTGTCATACTCGATAAAAAACACTTCCACACCCCTGGCTGCGGCCTAGTTAACCCCCCCACAGAGATGGAGAAATAATTGGAAATCATGACGCTAATTAACCTTCTCCAGGGTAAGGGTATTTATATCCTCCCCTTTTTGACGGAGCGACCAAGAAAAGGGAAAACGAGGGTGAGCGGCAGCGGCGAGCCGGGCCGCACGAGATGAAAACCGATTAGGCAGGTGGTAAGAAATGATGGGAGAAAATAGTTAGGAAATGGGAAGAAGGAACCAAGTTAAGGAACATCAATAATTCATTGCCCGTTGCTTAATTTTCAGATTTAAAAGAGGGACTAGCAAATGAGTCCGTTCCAGACTAGAGGTTTGGACTCTATAAATGTACAGCGGTACTAGTGAGTTAAATTGAAGCTGCAAGTCTTTTTGTAAGGAGCAAAAGAATTTAATTCATGTATTGATTTGTGCTGACTGACTAAAGACCTTTTAAACTTGACCACATTCACATATGTTCTCTAGAACCCATGTGAATTCACATTCATGAGTTGTATGAATTCACATGCAACTCTAGAATTGCATGTGAATAGTTTCTTTAAGTAGTTGGTTCTGTTGAGAATTGGGATTTATTGTGAAAATCATTAATGCTAATTAAAGATGTTTTGCAAACAAGCGTGGACCTTAACAGGTGCTCTCCTTCCAGTCTGACTGAGAAGGAGAAACTTTGCAGTAAAGAAAGGACAGAGATCTTAGGCTCTAGATGTGCCAAACAGGTAGAGACATCGCCCAGACAACTGGCAGCCTAATTGCAGCGAAATATACGGCAGCCCAAACGGACAAAAAGAAAAAATGAATTAAAAAGCCACAACAGCAAAAGTCGCACCGAAAGCTATTTCTAAAGGGTTTGTTGTACTAAGATGGAGTTTACGCTAAAATGGATGGAATGCTAATTTGAAAGTTATGCTAGCATGGAGGCAGCACTAATACAGAAGTTATGCTAAGATAGAAGCTATGGTATAACAAAATGCTAAAACAGAGGTTATGCTATGCTAAAGTGGAAATTAGCGTAGCGTACTTGGGTTATGCTTGCAAGACTTTTTATACTTTCCATAAATTCTATTTTTGTTTGGATTTTGTTGTTGTGTTGATGCTTCAGCATGTTGATGACCTGTCTGGGCCACCGTAGAAATGAGGCAGGACTGTGGTTTGAATTGGGCGGGGCTGTTAAGGGAGTGGTTGGACGGTTGTAATATAAGAAATATTAAATAATATTAATTTTAAAAATGTTTGTGACATTTTGTTTTTAGTCAAAACTCTCAACTCAATACAAGGAAAATCAAACTTTGTTCCAAAAATCAACTTCATTCCAGAAGTCCCCTTTGGTCCTTCTCAAACTCTTGTCCAACTTTGACAACGTTCGCCTCAGTAGTGTTTTGTGTTGTGATGAAGAGCAGGCACATGCACATAATGTACCTTTCTTTCAGTTCTAGCTTTGGCAGGAGGCAGAAATTGGTTGCCACTGGTTACAGATTGGTTAGAGCACAATAACACACTTCTCAAAATAGCAAAGTGCAGGCATCAACGCAAATAGCAGACTCCCAGCATTCACAAAATAACAGTTTTTAGTTTGATCTGTGGTCTGCATCCGCCATAGATCAGGGTTTCTGTGCAGTCAGAGACCTGAGAGATTCCTTATCCAGAAATGATCCATATGGCTGATTTTATATGAAGGGAGAGAAAACTGAGCTGGCTCCCCATGTGGGCCAAAAGAGAACATGGGTGTAAGTGAGAGAGATGTTAAGGGAAGGTCAGAGGAAGAGAGACAAGCAGTCAGTCAGTCAGTCATGAAAGCAGCAGAAAGCACAGTTTGTGGAGGTGAAAGATCTCAGGAGAGAAGGAGTCCTGAGAGGAGAAAAGAACCCGGCTCAGATTTCCATTGTCGGCCATGCCACCTTTCTGCTCTACTGTCACTCGGCCCTTTCTGCAGAAGCTGGGGGGGGTCTGAGAAGGCTAAGGTTACCTGGCTGCCGTCCCCCGCTGCCCCTGCTGACTTTCATTTCTGCTTAGGCTAACAACCAAGACCATTAAAGCAGCGGCGCAGATTTTACAGGATAAACTTTCAGCACCGAATGCAGCGAATGCGCTCCACACTCTGTCTCATTATATATCTATACCCCACGGCGGAGCTCCGCTATTCAATCATGCACCTCTGTGGTCCTATTTTAGGCAAATAATTGTCACCTTTTGTTAATGCGTCTTATTATAATGACTGTGTGGGCCAGACATTAGCAGAAGAAGAAGCTAAATAAAAATGTGTGAGGAGCGGACTGCAAGAGACAACAGCCTCAGGCGACCCGTCACGGTTGGCCACGGCTATCTGTCATAAATACTAGAGGAACGGTTGCCGGGCAAGTTTGGTCCGCCAAAAAGTTGGACTGGGTCGGAGCAAAGACAGGGATTACAAGCACTGATGGCAATTCAGTTCAGTTCAATGTGATTCAGCTCTGATCAATTCATTTCAGTTCAATACTCAACTTCAGTTCAGTTCAGTTAAAGCATACGTTTAATATAGGCCAATGAAATATTGTCATAACTGATCTCATCCCAGTAACTTGATAGAGTTGCTGCTCACGCTGCAGCTTTCAGCACCAGCTGATCTAAATGAAGTTGCCCAGAGAGTTTTGTCCTGCAGGTCAGACGTTACCTGCTTCCACCTCCTGGAGAATCTTTCTGAGCTGAAGCTTCAGCGGTCAGACATGAACTTGGAGCTGCAGGAACTTAAAGTGCATTGCGTTTTGTACTTAGGCCTCTTGCTAAAACAAAGTCTGCTATTTTGGAAGGCGAAGCGGCATTGACAGATGGTCCGTTAAGCCATTTCTGAGCAGCAGTTGGTTTCAGCCAAGCAGGCTGGTATTATATTTCACAGAACAGAAAAGTACATGCACACAAATATTTGCGAGGAATCAACTGTTTTTTTTTTTTTTTTTTTTTTTTCAGCTCTAACGTGTCTGGGGACATTTTTTTTTTTTTTTTTTTGTTCCTGTCCAGTTTCTTTTTCAGCTCTGTTCAAACGTGAAACGTCTTCTTCTTCTCTTTTCTTTGTTTCCTGTCGGCTTGGCAGACGAAGGCCCACGGGCCCAGCTTCACTCGGATCCACGCGCCGTGGCCCGTGTTGTGTAGAGAGGCCGAGTTTCTCAAGATTAAAGTTCCCACCAAGCAGGTGAGATTCTGACGCAGACCAGATTCTAAAAACACGAAACCGACGAAACACGGAGTTCACTTCCAGACTTCATGCAAAGACTTCATACACATTCCAGGCACAAACTTTCACATTTCAAGTGGGATTTATGCGACTGACACCTAAAGAAGTGCATTATTGGAAAATGATACATGATTAAGTTCAGTTGAAATCTTTATTAACATACCAAATTTAATATAAATGTAGTGAAGTGTCTGATGAAGGGACGATTCCTCTCAAAGTCTAAAGTACTTCTAGTGTTCAAAGCTGAGTGACCAGCATGTCTGTTGACCTGCTTTTTCCTCAGAGTTACGAACTCAAAGAGGAAAGTGGCTTTGGGTCCAGTATGAGCTCGCTGTGGAGGAAACTGAACCAGCCCTTTGAGCCCAAAATACCACACCAGGACCACGGCAGCACCAAGTTCCTGTCCCACTGCTTCTCCAGAGACAAACTGCACATGTAAGACTCTGTCCAACTGTCCGTCCGTCGCTCCGAACGTCCATCCATCCATCTGCTATGTTCTGTTTGCCAGATAACCACAGTTGCATAGTATTAGTTACATTCACTGAACTACATTCACTTGAGGAACTTTTAGGAGTATTTATACTACGACATACTTTTTACTTTTTCACGCGAGTAATTCCGATATGAAGTATTTCTACTTTTACTTGAGTAGCATGTCTGGATTCTCTACCCACTGAATGAAACGCAAACAAAAACTCACCAGGCACAGACACACACAGGCAGCTTTTATTGAAGTTTCCTTATTTTTTATTTTATTTATTTATTTATTTTTTATTTATTGAATGAAACTGTTTGTCACTGTTTGTTACTTATATAAATTATTGTCATTTTGGTCCGTAAAATACCAAAATGTCCACTTAATTTTACACTTTAGTCCGTTTGATGATGTATTTTTTAAATATTAAATGACTGATAATTTGATCAGTTACTCAGTACCTGAGTTGTCTTTTTACCAAATACTCTTACTTTTAGTTGAGTCATGTCTCAATCAGCTACTTTTTACTTTTACTTAATTAAAAACTTGTTGAAGTAGTGTGACTTTTACTTGGGTATTATTTTTCGCTACTCTACTCACCTCTGCTTATGACCAAACTTCACCACTTCGGATCCATCTCTTCGCCTCCTTAGCAACACCTGGTTGCTATTTTCTCCCTGAAATCCAAACATCTATAGTGAGGAAGCTTGAGCAGCCAGAGGTCAAGGGTTGAGGTTACTGAGTGAACAAGCAACCTGAGCATTAATCTGGACACTTGTTCAAATAAAGTATTCAGGACAAGCTTTGTTTCAGGTTGTCCTTCTAGTAAATCAACTCCTCTCGGCGTTTCCTCTGTCTCCGCACAGGTTTAAATTTGCTGTGGACGTATTTTATATCTGTTTGGATGTTTGACTGCTGCTCTTGACAAAAATAGGTAGAGGTCAGTTTGTTTCTCTGGCTTCAAGGAGAACGTTTATGAGTTTTCAATGAGGCTGGGAGGAGGCATTTGGGAGAGTGTTAGCTTTCATTATCCATTTCTAAAACCAACTTTCTTGCATGTTTCCGAATAATTTGGAGCATCTGGGTAGGTCCAAATTGAAGTCATTTGGTCTCAGATGAAAATAAGTTAATTAGGACACTTGACCCTGAACCCCAAAGCCTCTATATGGAGGACATATAGAGGACATATAGAGGCTTTGATCGCCACATTCAGTTATCAGTCAGAATTTCAACAGTTTGCGATTGTATCTAAACGTAGCTGCTGTCACTGATGCCCAGAGTGGATGAAGAAACGAAGACTTCCCGTTTCCTAAACTCCATTTGGACACAACTGGAATCTTCAACAGGACAGGGGTATTAAAGATATATCAAAACCAGATTTGGAATCTAAATCAAATTTACTTTAAGCTTCACAACTTCAACTCTTTTCCAGATTTGTTGCCAGAGAATGATTGAAATAAATCACTTCTGATCTTTGCTGCACCTCAGACTCAGTGTGGTGTTTAACGGAGCTAAAAGTCTTTCAAACACAGCTAGCTTTGCTCTTGATTGACTGAATACAGTTTCAAACTTCCTTTCTGACTTCTAATTTGGGTTTGTCAAAATGGAATTAAAAGTCAGTGCTATGAATGTTTTTTAAAAACCGTTTGTTTGACAGCTTGATTTTTTTTTCTTTTTTCCATTTTGTTCCTTTGTTGTGAAAGGAAAATGGTTCCCCTCAGATTGGCACAGTACATTCACTCCTACATAAACTCTCATCACTAGATTCATATGATTTAAATACAAACACATCCATAACATGTGACGACTTTTATCTACTGGCTGTTTACTTCAGGTACAACATCACATCTAAGGACACGTTCTTTGACAACGCCACGAGAGGCAGAATAGTAAGTGTGTCTTTAATGAGTTCACCATGTGTTATAATCACTCATTTATTAACCTCTGATGGACTAAGAAGACTGAACTAAAGGAAAAAATATATGTGGAGATCAGAGGAGTAAATGTTCAACAAAAGATGTAGAAATTTCTAGATTAATTTCACATATTTAGAAAAAAAAGACATATACCCAAATTTGACAAGTTGTGCATTTGCACGAAAGAGACAATTTTCCATGATTAAAGGCATCAATTTGCAATATTACGACTAAAATGTTCTGACATAAAATAAAAAATTTACATGAACATTTTTTACGTAGTTCCTTGGAAATTGGTTTATTTTTAAGGTTTTTTTTTTCAATTTCTGATGTTAAAATATTTCAAATGTAATTTTAACATTGCAAATGCTTTTCTTCCCACGTTGGAAAATATTCAAGTTTGTTTTTCCCTGAAATCCATTAAATTAGTCTAGAAATGATCGAGCTTTTGGCAGAAATGTTTTCCTCTGTGGCCACATTCTATGTTTTTGTTTTTCATTTCTCCTCAATGACTCTGGCTCTTTATTTGCTTCCAAACTGATGGTCTTGAATCTTTTCCAGGTCTATGAGATCCTGAGGCGGACGGTGTGTGTACGAACATGTCAAACTGTAGGTGAGGAAGCTGGACTGACAGATGACCCTTTGGTAGCAAAAGGCTTGATGAGAACTCCACCGCTTTGCTAGAATTTAGAGTAGTGCTGTGCCACAAATCAGAATTAAAAAAAGGAAAAACCTTTGTGAAGAAAGATAAAGTCTCAGGTACCCAAAAGTTGATATTTGAGTAAAACAAGTGAACCTAAAGCAGACAAACTGTCTTGAGATGTCATTGCATCACAACCACAAACTGGGTGTTTCATGTGATAGACCAACATGGCCATCTTCCCTGCTCCTGCATCCCCACATCATGATGCTGCCACCACCATTTTCTAAAGTAAATACTACAAAATATACTGTACACTATTTAGATTCTGATTTTTACTTTACTTTTCACCTCCATCCGTCCAGACTCAGTGTATTCAATCTGAAACAAAAGTATTCCCTCAGCATGATGCTGCCATCGCCATTACCCCAAAGTCTACTTTCTAATTTTCCCTTTGTCTAAAATGCATCCCCCACTTTGTGTTGGTCTATCACTTAATACCCTATTGAGATACCTCGATATTTATTCCATTTTGATGCATCTAGAGCTAGGCTAGGTTAGCTTAGCTGGGAATAGTTCTCCCTGAATATTTCTATGCAAGCAGTTGCTCGGTACCAACACCTCAGTTTTGTTCGACTCTCCACAGAAACGCAGCAGCTCCTTTAGATGTTCCACCAACATCAGTGACAATTATATTTATGACAATATTACCTCGGCGTCAATGTTTGCTGAAGAAAAAAAGCACTAGCTCTCCCAAACAGCCGTGCTAGGAAGCGGGTTAGCTGCACGTATGACATGTACTGTACTCAGCGCTGACGTACTGTGTGCGAGCCGTGGTTCCTCTGTGGAAATGAGCTGACACCCTTTTCATGTCCAGTGTCCCCCATATGTCTGGTTGGCTGGCCCATGGCAGCAGACGGCCTCAGCCAGCAGGTTCTCACAGAGCTACAGGGGAGGAACGGTAGAGAAAACAGAGCTTCATCTCTCTCTCTGACCTTGCTTTTCCTCTATTCCCTTCATTCCTCAGCGCAGCAACACACACACACACACACACACACACACACACACACACACACACACACACACACACACACACACACACACACACACACACCCTGTTGCTTAGCACCATCTCCTTCACAAGTGGGTCACACTTCCTAGGTCAGCTAAAGATTGGAAGCAGGGGCCTCTGGGAGATGTGGTTGTTTCTGGCTGGTTGAGTGTGTGCTCATGAGTGAGGATGGGTGTTTCCTGGGTGTGGTGTGCGTTAACCACACAGGTGTTCTCTGCTTGGTAGCGGATCCTCTTCCATGGACTAATAGTGCTTTCAGTGTCTTGGGACTGTATTGATTTTTGCTTTGAATTTAGACTGAGGTGTAATGGAATATTTAGATCAACACATATTCATGTAACACAACATCTTAGTCAACACCCAGACTGTCTAAATCTTATAAATAATATGCAGTAAAACGTAAAAATGTATGTTCTCCCCTGATCTGCCTGAGTTTGAAATATTTTGCTCAGAAGAAAACGACCAAAAATATCAGACATGATCATTTTAGTAACAAGTGGTCAGAGATGGTAATGTTCCTTTTAATCCAATAATGTGGTAATAGCAGAGCTAATTTTTTTGTTCAGTGTGTTAGCGCTTTTGCTAACGTTGAAAATGTTCAGCTTCCCCTAAATTAGGTCGTTCAACTAAATTCTAAAGGTCTAACTTACCTGACTGTTTTTGTACACTCTCGGTCGAAGAAAGTTCAAAGTTTGTGTCAGACTTTCACTTACCAACTGTTAAAAATTCTTCATGTATTTAGCTGCACAATCATCCTCTTATTTTGAAGTGGGTGCTTCAGTTCTGTTTCCTCTTCTCATGTTCTCTCTCTTCCCTCTGTCAAACAAACGACGCACAGGAGCAATATCTGAGAGCACAATAGAACATATAAATGATGATGTTAAAAGTCAATTAAATTGGTGATTGACACCAATTCTACATTGACATTGGGTGTTTATCACATAAAATTCTACAAAGATATAAACTCTTAAGCTAGCCGTTTAAATCACTATTATGCAATATTAAATTGTGTTGTTGAGATTACATTACAATGGACGTCACAATGTGATTTCAATTCGGTTCAATTCACAGATCTCCGATGGATATGATGCAGTATCATCTCTGACACAATCATTTCTACGTTCATCAGCTCAAAGCACAAGTAACATACAACAAGTTTTCTTTGAAAGCTCTTCAGAGATCGGAATGAAAAGTTGCAAAATTCAAAACAAAAAGACGCATTGAACTTGTCCATATAGGCTGACATTTTACATTTTAGTTGGACCGCGTCTGAAAAACTCAATTAACAGAACTGCTTTGCTATCTGTTTTTTTTTTCTTCACTCTGACCAATGGTCTTGAGTTTCTGATTTAAAACCTGCTCCATTTAAAATAATACTTGAGACGTGACGTGACCTGACCTGACCTCACCGATGCCCCTCTTCTCTTTTCCAGGCATCAGCACATTGATAGCCAAGGGCGTATATGACGCCGCCTTCCCTCTTCATGACGTAAGTGTGAGCCGTGAAGTATTGACTTGAAACAATTTTCTATATCTCGCTGAAAAGCCACACGTAATCCAGTTTCCCCTCATTTCAAGCGTACGGAGTGTTGCAGCAGAAACGGCCGGGGGGGATTTTGTGTTTTTGCCGTGAATGCAGAGGAGATAAAAAAATGTTTCAACAAATATGTAAAAAGAATATTTTAAAAGTCAACATATATTCTAATCTTTTTCAAGTAAAATTCGATCATTTCTGCTGATTGGATTTCTTGTTTACATTTGTTTGTATTTGCATTTGGTAGATTTCCTTCCTTCATATTGATGTTTATTCATTAACAACCATTTGAGCTTTTAAGTGTGATTTGTTCTCTTCACTTTGTTCTGGTGTTTCCTCATGCTCGTCCTTTTGCTCCGCAGGGTGACTTTAAGGTCACTGGACCCCTGGAGGAACGCAACGACAGACAGGTGCTGCCGCTCCGCTCCGCTTTCACGGCTCTGCCTTTTCGTTCAGTTTGGCGTAACCCTCTGTTTCCTCCTCTGTTCCCGCCTGCCCGTAAAAGAGACGATAAACTTCGAAAGCGGCCCCAGTGGTCGGCCATTTGCAGCTCGAGTCCCGGCCCCCCCGGATACTTAAGCCGGAGCACACGGGCCTTTCCGCACAATGGCGGTTCTGTCCTCCTTTTCGTTCGCATTCGTACGTCGTCCCATCTGCCTAACACTGGCACAGATTGGAGTTTAAGTCGAGCAAAAGCTCCTCCGAGACGGAGAGAGGAAGAGAGACGGTAATCTGTTGACTGAAAAGTCCAGACTGGAAATAAATCCGCGGTAAATAAATCTGTCCAAAGTATACCACAACATAACAGAACAAGCAGGGATGGGAATGTAAATTAGCATAAACAAAACATTTTTCACTTGCTACACGAGCTTTCATTTCAACTCAGCCGGCATCGTATCTTATAATTTAACATTTGTTTAACAATTGAAACACAACATTGTTTTTTGTGCTATAAAACTGATTGTAAATGATGAGGAATGATTAAAGTACGGACTTTTAAAAGCCGTTGACTCATAAGGCGTATGATAGGATGTTTAGTCGAAGTACGAATATGATTTTAATTCAGTTTTTTTCCCTCTGTTTTCTGATATTTTGTTCTAATGTTTTGTCAACATGTCGCTGCTGAAACTGAGAATTTGTTCTCAATCAAATGACCTGGTTAAATATAACTAATTATTGTTTCTCTTCAAAATACAAATTAATAGTCATCCAGAGAACAGAGATATTTTGCATACTTTGTTTATTTAAAAAAAATCTGCTTGATACTGCACAAAAGAAAGGTTATGAGCTTCTTTATTGATATTTTTGGCATAGGTAGAGAAGAAAGCTAATTATGGCCTCTACTGGTTCGGAGGACACACAACCAGAACTCCAAGCAAATGTCTCAGATCAAATGGCCTAATCCAATCCCAGACCTGAATTCCTCTGAGCTTTGTCAGAAATGTCGGTTTCTTGGCGTGAAAAGCGAAAACTCGTCAAATGCGTTGAATTTTGTGGCTACAAGGAAAAGACGCGTTGAACTTGTTCATATAGGTTGACATTTTACAACCTATAAAAAATGGCAAATGGTTTGATCAGTTCAAGGTTTGCCATGGTTAAAGCCAGAATCTTTCTCCGAGATCCTGCAATAAGGAATAAAATTACAAAGTGAAAAAACCTGGACTATTTTGAAACACTTGCGTGTCTGATTGGAGGAAGGAATAAGGAATCATGAACGAAACCAAGTAAAAGTCAAAGTGACCGCAGTTTCACTTCTCTCTCTGCGTTCCTGGGCGTAAACACGAGGCGTTTCTGGAAAGCGTTTCTGGAAAGCACTCTGTGAGCGGTGGATGCAGTCGAACCCGACACCGTGTTTCTGTCGGGTCGTCTTCCTCCCACCTTACCGGGTTTCACTCGTCTTCAGGATGGAGTTACTTACGCCGCGGCTCCTCCGAGGCTCAACTCGGCCAATCAGGAGGCGCCTGCCTCCGTATCAGCTGTGCCTCAGAAAAAGAAAAAAAAATTTCAACTTTCAACATGACAACACACACCCACAACAACTTGACTCTGAATGTTTCTCTCTCTCTCTCTTTCTCTTTGTGCGTGTGTGTGCGCATATGTCTGTGTATGTGTGTGTGTGCTGTCAGGTTCTCTTCGAAGAGTGGGCAAGATACTCGGCCTTCTACAAGTACCAGCCCATTGATCTGGTCAGGTAATGTTGCAAAACAGAAAAGCCGGCTTGAGCTCTGAACACGATTCATCTCATCCCACCAAGTAGGAGGTGGACTGTCCAACTAGCCCCGATCCTGTGGTTATAGAAAATACTACAGTTGATATTTAATTATACTCAGAAATGCATAATTAATGATTTCTCAACAGCTAGCTAATTGGCTATTTGTCATGGATTTTGACCTTTTTTTTTTTACTGAGTTCAGGTTTGTGACTTATTCTACTCATTTCTGAAGCTACAATCTGGAGATATGTAAAAAAGTAAAAAAAAAATTAAAAAGCAGCTAATGGCAACGACAATATTTTCCATGGGAAACTCTGATGTAACAGTCTCTTTAGCGCAAATGTGAGTTTATAAGTCAAACATTTCTATAGCTGTGTTTCTGTTGACCGTACATTTTCTCAATTCGACATTTCGTAAACAAATCCACTTGATCGAAACACGCTGATTTCGAAAACACTTGTTTTATGATCAGTGGTTTGGCTCTATGATGAGGCGTTTTGTTTTTTTTGGCCATGTTGAAAGTGGCTTATTTTGCAAAACTGAAATGGAAGCACTTTTGTTTTGTTTTTACATCACATGAAAAAAGCATGGCGCAAACCATGAAGAAGATGACAGGAAGTAGTAGGGAGGAGGATGGTGTGACGTGTTTATTTAATGACTTATCAAAAAACAAACTTTAATTCCGTTTCTTATTTAATTGCAAGATCGCAGTTGCAAAATTGATAATGTTTTGATGAATACTTGTAAAGGAAGCAGAGTTACTGATGGTCTGTGCATTAAGCAGTAGTCTGGAAACCCAACAAACAGACACCCTACCCTAGGACTTAAAAGCGCTCTGTTGCTAATCTAACTTATCTGAAAGACTGATTATTCAAAACATTTTGATACAAAAAACTGATATATTCCTGCTCTGGTTTTGACCAGCAGTGTTGCTCGCATGTGCACAAAAGTATGTATTCACAGATTATGATTTATTCTTGATTTGTCCTGCACTCTAGAAAGATGAAACCGTAGATCACCTCCTCGTTTTACACTTTTTTTGCTTCATGTAGATTTGTTTCTTTCGCTCCTCTAAACCACCTGTCTTCCCTGTCCAAAATGTGAATGTCGTTCTCTTCCAAAGAGTGGTTCCTGTTTTTGAGACAGACGAAGCGCTGAGCCTCGTCTCAATAAGCTGACTCCTTGATGAACAGTTCTAACCCAAAAACCAAACCCTCAAATACTGGGATAATTCTCACCCACGAACTGAGAAAGCCTTTTGGATGAAGGGACGCAAGAGGAGAAGTTACTTTTCCTTCCATTTAGACAAATAGTCCCCGGTTATATTTGTAGGAATGCAGAGATTTGGAAACTAATCCCCGTCTCACGTGAGCCTATCCTGTTTCTCTGCAGGAAGTACTTTGGAGAGAAGATTGGCCTGTATTTTGCCTGGCTTGGTGTTTACACCCAGCTGCTCATCCCGGCCTCCATTGTGGGAATCATCGTGTTTGGATACGGCGTGGCGACGGTGGACACCAACATCCCCAGGTGCGCCCGGAAACCTCGAGTCGTTCGGTCGCAGATTCCAGTCGAACGCGTAAAACGGAGCGGGACAGAGGCTTGGCATAAAACACTGGAAGAGTCTGAAAATGAGGGATCTCTTTTCAGCGTGCACTCATGTTCACGAGCCACACTCACACACTCCACTAGACAGGGATTGCCCAGATACCTGCTGTATCTGGCTTTAGTCACGGCCGTGTGGGAGGCACACAGAAGGCACGGCTGGCAGTGTGTGCGCGAGTGTCATGGATTCAGCCCACACCGACTATGAATAGGGTCAAAGTACAAAAGCTTGTGTGGTAGTCAGGAGTTAAAAGTCCCATTCATTTCTCGTACGCACATGTAACAGACACGAGCATCTCTTAAAGTCTTAAATTTTTTTTTTGTGCTTTTTGCGGGGATTGCAATCACGGTTTCGTTTTCATGCTGCACACAATAAGATTTGGCGCGCCTATCGGCGGGTTGACGTTTACGCCCTTGCTTTCCTCCCTCCGTCTCTGCAGTTTGGAGATGTGCGACGAGCGTCTCAACTTCACCATGTGTCCGCTGTGCGACGGCGCCTGCGACTACTGGCACCTCAGCACGGCCTGCGGCACCGCCAGGGCTTCGCACCTCTTCGACAACCCCGCCACCGTCTTCTTCGCCATCTTCATGTCTCTGTGGGGTGAGGTTTTGGGTTCGCCTGCGTGTTTTTGTGCGTGTGTGTGTGTGAGAGGGAAACGAAAGAGGACGGGTGGGGTGAACATGAAGGGGCTCATTAATATCTTACGTCCTCTCTCGCCTCAAGCGGAGGCGGACACCTGTGGCGACAAGCTAAATCGGCAGGGGAGTAAAGTTTCAGGAGTTCAGAACAAAAAAACCCAAACACAATAAAAATGTGCAGATGAAGTGAGATATTTACATTTACTGTTTGAAAATACACTTTTTTATAAACTCAGGTCTACGAAAGCTAAGATTGCTGTGTGGGTGTCGTTATCCTCCATGAGAAACGCGCTGCAGCCACAGGGGCTGAAATGCCGCTCAGAAAGGAAGAAGCCATGATGTCGAAACTGTTCACTGTTTGTTACTGTTTTCAGAGACTCAGGGAGAAGAACTTTCATTTCTGGTGATGCATCTGGTGTTCCGATGGAACTAACATGAAACTGGGTGATGTTTGGTTTTACCAAGTTTCCATAACAACTGACGTGGTTGTTATAAAACTGAGGCAGATTTGATTTACTCTGCAGATCCGATGCAAAGCACATATTAGATAAGTTATTTTCTATTTAGCCAGTGACTGGAAAAGCTACAGAAAGGTGGTCAACATTTCTAAGAAATAATAAATATCTCTCCATTTACTATTGAAAATGATGTAAAGATTTTTTACATTTTTGATTAGAACCTAAATAAAAGACACAAATTTAACAATGTTTTATAATATTTTCAGTGGTCTGGAAACAAACTTTTTGCTTCAGTGATAATAACATCAAATCTAAATCTGCTAAGGTTATGAAAACCTTTGGGCTTAAGAAAAAGTTAGTTTTTTTCCCCATATCTTTCTTTGTTCATCAGTAAAATCAGTAAAATCTTGTTTTTTAGTTTGTGGGCAGCAGAGTTTTTGATCGAACCATTGACTGAATTTCTGTGTGCGTGTGTACGTGTGTGTGCAGCCGTGTTGTTCCTGGAGCAATGGAAACGGCGACAGATCAGCCTGAGTTTCAGCTGGGATCTGACGGGAATCGAGGACGATGAGGTAAAAAAATAATAGTAAAAAAAACAAAAACCCACCAAACCATCTAGAAACTCAGACGTAGATATTCACATACAGATCAGGGGATAATTGATGAGAACAGGGTGTCGTGTGTGTGCGGCTTTTTGCTAAGTACTAAATCAGCCGCACAGATGCATCATGGGAATGTTGTTCCGTAACCGAGCTCCCGTTTTGTTGTCAGGAACATCCCCGGCCAAAGTATGAGACTATCCTCCTGGAGAAGCGACAGAGGAAGCAGCAGAAGAAGAAGAAAAAGAAGAAAAAGAACGAGGTAGGAACTTTTAAAACATGATCGGAAAAGGAATTCCATGTTTGTTTGTTTTTCTTGCTGCAGCCATATTTTTTCATGTACTTTGCATCGAGACCCCTTTACTCTCACACCACCAAGTAAATGTCCAACCAGTTCCTTTCAGCAAATGATCTACCTGGCTTTTTATTATGCCACTTCTCTTTCAATACTTTGTAAAAATCGCCATTTTGATGCAAATACAGCTGCAGGTCTTTCAGGTCTGGGCTTTGACTAAACCATTTCTAACACAAGAATATGCTTTAATGGAATTTTCTTTCCCCTTCACAAATATGCTTCAACTTCTCTGCTTGCTTTTTGGTTTCTGTAACAGTCCCTTTAAAGAAAACCTGACTCGAGTGTTAAAGAGGACTCATCGTCTGTCCGTATTTGTGTGTTTGTGACTCGTCCCTCTGTCTCGTAGCCAGGGAAGCAGGAGGACGGGACAGTGACAGGGAAGGACAGATGGAGACAAAAACTGCTGTCTGCCATGGCTGCAGGAGTACCGGTAACCCTCCCTCTCTCCTCTCCTCTTTTCTCCTTAGCATGCCTTCCTTCCTTTCCCTCCTTTCCCCCATTTTCCTCTCCCTTCGTTTCCTTTCCAGCAGGCTGCTGTCTCTCTGTTCTTCTCTTCCTGTCCCATCCTCTGGCTGCTGTGGTTTCATCTGCTCAGGTATTTGTTTCCTTTTGCTTTTTTTCATTTCTTATTTGGTTAACCCGTCCTGCTGGTGGTCCTAAACTTCCTATTTATCCTCTTGAGTTTTCAGTCTTTGTTTTTTTTATTTTTATGCAACACATGAGGCGGCACACATGCAGCCTGATATTGTCAGTTATTGAAGCTACCCACGCTTTGATAACTGCCCACAGGCAACTTGGAGACTCAGAGTTAGTTAGTTGCTGATCGCTAATACAACAAGCTAGCTGTCAACTAATTTCATTTTAAATTGATGAAATTGGTCAACAAAAAGAAACAAAGGTTAAAAATAAATCTAAAATCAAGTGCTAATATGAATTAGTTCATGGCAAGAAGGTTAAATATAATTTTTCTGAACGCTCTTATTGGGACTCGAGCTTTTTTCAAAGGTCATTAAACTTGCCACTTTGTCAGCAGCATATCACCTTACGGCTTTGTCAGTCGATGCTCATTTGTGGACAAAATCAAAAAAAATAAAAAATACAAACAAACATAAAAGCAGAGAGATACAAGACAAAGAAACACAAAGCACAAGAGACTGAGAGGCTTGGAGAAGTGGATGTAGGAAGAAAAACAGAGGGAGAGCGCCTGAGTGGGAGTGATGCATGCTGGGCAGGAAGCCAGGGGTAAGATTAGTGACCGTCACTATGGCGACACACAACTCTCCCTCTCACGCACACTTAGCAGCCCTTGGCTTTATTACCTGAGACACAAAAATTGTGTTATAGGTTCAAACCAAATTAGCTTTCAAAAGTCAGACAGAGCTGCATCTTTCAGCGCTTCATGGAATCAGTGCAGAACATTTTCAGCACTCAGTACAAATAAAGCCAGCCATCTATTATTGGAGTCAGTCCAATTCATCCTAAAACAGTACTGTGTTTAAGACAATGGGGCAATTTTTTTTCATTCCACTTCACTTTTGCTGGTTGGAGTGAGCAGAAGTGATTAAAGTTCACCATTCTAAATTTGAAGGGTGTTTTCAGAACTGATAGTCTGGTGGACTTGGTTTGATTTGGGAGCAAAATTGTAATACTTGTTACAGTATCAGCTGGTACGTTTCACTTCCACACTTACTGAGGGAAATGAGCCAAACTACTTGAAAAGCCTGTTCATAATCTGTGGTGGCGCTGCACAAAGAACTACTGAAGGAAACGACACAAGAACCTCTGAAGAAGACACTGAGCTCAACTTCCTACTGAAGGAAACGTAAATAAAGTGGCGTCAGATTTTAGCGCTTGCAGGATTTCTCGTTTGTCTTAGGTAAAACACCGCAAGTCAATTCTCCTGCTAGTGCTAGACTTGTTTGTTTTTGGTTACACCTGCCCAAAATTTCCTGTGCCGTAGTCCACTTTCTGCTTTCGGAGCGGTCTCTGGTCTTCTTGACCAGAGACCACATGTTCACATACACATTTAAACCGCAGCGGAGTTCACTTCAACCGAGCCGAGACCGAGGTTTGCCGGTGTATAGTTCACTGTTTTGGTCCACAACAGTTTGATCCATAACTCAAACTCTAGATTTTCTTTCAGGACTTTTGAAATTATGCATAAAAAATGTTATACTCTCAAAAACCAAACATCTTGACAGAGCGGCTATTGGTTCAAGATTTGACGTGCCGAGGTGGAAGATGAAACCAATCCTCTCCTAAAGACCCCACACATCCCAGAGGAAGATTAGCAGATTTCTGTTAAGTCTCAGGGTGAAACAAAGCGATTGTTTAGTGTTTGCATGATGAGCGAAATGTTTATTTTGATTTCCTGTTTTGCATAAAAGGCAGCGTGGGAGCAGGCTGGTCAGAAAGACAACTAATAACAGAGAACATAAAAAGCTGTCACTGGGTCTCCGTCGTGAGAGCTTTGTCGGGCTCAATGGACTCCACAAACCAAATATAACACCTGACCTAATTTACCACCTCCTCCGCTGACGGCTGTCCCCGCCACACACACATGCACACGCATCCACTCAGACTATACCTTTGTCTTTTCAAGTCCCCCTCTTTTGACTTTGTCCTCTTGTGCCAGCTTCTCTTGGTTGTGGCTGGCTGATAAAAAAAAAAAAATTAAAAATGCAAAAGCTTGAACTTCCAGTTTCCGTTCAAATTCGATAGAGCTCTTTACGTCCATGTTCTCTTCTGAGTGAAATCCGGGCAGCTTTCAGTGCTGGTTGTACTGCTCCTTTATGTTCACTTGATGGCGCTGTTGCGTTAGGAGTGATCACCACTTGCTTGCTGTTCCTGCTGATTCAAAATATGTCAAATTACTCCATGATGTGAATTGGGTCACACAAGTTGAGTTGATTTGAAACAAATTATGACTTTGTTTTTCAGAAATTATCCCAAAATCCTCCAATTTTCCCCCAAATATGAGAACATTCTGTATTAAAATAATGGCAATAGTCATGTTTTCCTTATTATCTCTTTTGAAGTTATTTTGTTATTAGAACTACGTCTTTATTTAGTTCTATATTTACCATAACTCCAGTAAAGACATTTTATTTGCAACCCTTAACCTTTCTTTCTTCCTTCTTTCTTCCTTCCTTCACTTTCTCTTTATCTAGTGCCGATTCATCAAATGGAGGTCTGCGTTTGTTTGTCTGATTCTTCTTAATTATGTTGTGTGTTGTTGTTTTTTTCACTCCAGATCTTCCAGTGAAGTTGAACAACCTTGATCCATTGCTTGCCAAACTGGGAACTCTCTCACTCTTTTCTCTCCTCTGTTTCCCTCTCGTCTTTTCACTCAGACGGTCGCCGAGAAGTTGACGTGGAAAGACCGTCTCCCTGGATACTTCATGAACATTTCCTCTATCCTTTTCATGGCAAGTCGAGTGCAAGTGCTGAGCCGTCTGCAGTACGCTCTCTTGGTTTTCACCGTACGTCAACAAATTGTCAAAGCATTTTCTTCTCGCTTTGCCGTCAGTTTGGACTGACGTTTTCAGCAGTTTTCGGCGTAATCGTCTACCGCATCACGGTCTCGGCCTTGATGGCGATGAGCCCGGACCCTGAGACCAAGTCCAACGTCCGGGTGACCGTGACGGCCACCGCTGTCATCATCAACCTTGTGGTCATCCTGATCCTGGATGAAATCTACGGCGCCGTGGCACTGTGGCTGACTGAACTAGGTACAGAAAGACCCACTGACCTCTCACCTAAAGCCGTTTTCATTTTTTAAAATTCCCAGCTAGGCAGGACACAAAAATCCTACATGTTTAAAATCAGAACAAACAAATATATATATGTGTGTGTGTGTAAAACCTGAACATACAATTCTTTCAGTTTATTTTGAATGTAATGGGCACGAACACCGAAAAAAACAGAGGAAAAGAAATGGAGAAAGGTGGAGCAAGAAGGGAATGAAGGAGATGAGAGTAGAGGAGAAAACAGAAAAACGCTGTATAAGTCTGCTTCTACACCTGCAGAAAGAGAGAAGAAACTGTAAAACAATAACAAACATCATGTGATAACATCACTGAAAGGTACACAGTACTTGTTAATTAAAGATGAATATGGTGGCAAGTGCAACCCAAAGTAGATTTCATATGAAAACGCCTGAATCTGTTTAGATTCTTTTTTATTATTATTATTATTATTTTTAACATTTATGACTTTTCACTTGACTCCCATCTGCACATTTATGTCTTCTGAAAATAGAGTATCTTCATAAACAAACTGCAACTGAAAAATACTGATGCTAAAAATAGGGCAAACTGTAGAGACAGTGTAAAGATGATCACATATAAACTTTTTTCACTTAGTGGAGATGTACAATGGTTTCATATTTATTGCCCAGAAATTTTACAACAAAAACAATAACTAAAACACAAGTTTGATTACCTTTCCTGTCAAATATGTTGCCACTCAAAACAAACAAACAATGTCAGGATGTCAGTTGCTTATTTTTAGGGATTCATATCCGATTTTAATGTTGCTGTTATGGCCGATAACCATGATTTACCAATATCATATATCGATGTGATTTATCTTTTGACGGCTTAAAAAATTGACCACTCTGCTGACTTAAACTGAGTTTTATTTATCAGGCTGATGCCAATATGTTAAGGAATGACAAATACCAGCGAATACCGATGTTGATGCCAATATATCTGATATATTGCATATTTTTGGTTATTTTTGCTTGAATAGGAGGCATAATCGGTACAAATGGGAGTCAGAATCAAAATAAATATTCGGCCATGATCCAAGATTTTCAGGGTATAGCACATAATTTATTTAACTTATGCTTGGTAATGGATCAGTTTTATTGCTGCTGATTGCAGTAATTCTTGATAAACTGATGCTTTGTTATTTAAGGGTAAAAAAAAATGTAAGTTTGAAGGGATGGCCAACTAAACTTGAGCCCCAGAGGGACTGGTTAATAAAAACCTTAACACACATATGCACACACTGCAAAATATGTTTTTAAACATTTGAGAGAAATTTGAGAGAAATGTCGTTTTTTTTTCTCCCCTCCTCTTCTTCTTCTTCTTGGACAGTGTGATAAAACTTTGATGTTTTCATGCTCCAGCTCTCTCATCAGTCGTCCCCAGAGGTTTCTACGACATTCGCAGCGATATTCCCAACCCCAGAAATAGAGGCAGAATTCAGACGTGCAAAAAGGGAGAGCGCGCGCGTGTGTAGTGTGTGGGTGCGTGAGCGTGTGTGTGTGTGTGTGTGTGTGTGTGTGAAATCAAAAAGAGAAGTGCCAGTACGCTAACCTACTTCCACGCATGTGTGTGTGCTGCTAAGAAAAGTATTTTTCCATTTATAGATTCTTTCAGTTTTCACTTATGTTTTATCATACTTTAAACATTTGAAATCATCAAACAAAATTACGACTAACCACATTTTATAACTCAGTTTCTACAGCCACACCTGCCCTGATGGGCTGACTTTGTTGTGTTGATAAATTTAATGATGTTATTTATGTTTCACTTTCACGCATAAAAAAAAAAAAAACAATGAATTGAGGGTGATTGTTCAATATGTTCAATATTTAACTATAACACAGAGACTGGCGATCCACGAGAGAGTTCTAACGTCAAAAAGCCCGTCTCGCGTTTTGCTGCAGCGAGACGTTTGTGAACAATATTTCTGGATGGATAAGATAAAAGTGGAACTTTCTAGAATGTGGCATCTCGCTACGTCGAAAAGCTACCAGCCTTTTTGGGAAAAGAACTTCATAGGTGACGGACAGAATCTTGAATTCTTCAGTCAAAAAGCTTTTTTCACAAATAAAATAAAAATATGAATTGAGTTTTGTCTTCAAAAGTCGATGTGCATACTGAAGTGCTGTCCTCCTAAAACTTTACATAAACAATAATATTCACTTTTTTTTTTTTCAGAGATTCCTAAAACAGAAACCAACTTCGAAGAGCGCCTCATCCTCAAGGCCTTCCTGCTCAAGTTTATGAACGCATACGCTCCCATATTTTATGTGGCTTTCTTCAAGGGACGGTAAGACACGAATCCTCATACGCATGTTCCCGTGTGTAGTTTGACACAATGTTGGACTGTGGGAACTGTGCATTCTCGCAAAAACATAAATTATTAATAAAGAGAGGGAAAAAAAATACCTGTCTTTGATTTTTAAATATTTATGTTATGCCAAAGAGTCTTTTCTTAAAAAAGAAATATGTTTTATTTCTTTAACATCTGCAAATAAAAGAAATGATTCATTAATGTTGGTGAAACAAAAAAAATGATATTTCCCATGAAAGTTGTCTTTTGTTTGCGCCTTTAGGTTTGCGGGTCGACCTGGAAGTTATGTGTACGTCTTCAATGATTATCGCATGGAGGAGGTTTGTTCCTGCAAGACCTTAGCTAAGCAGGTCAAGTATCCTAGAACTGACCCTCTGTGTTCCCCTTAGTGCGCACCAGGAGGCTGCCTCATCGAGTTGTGCATTCAGCTCAGCATCATCATGCTGGGCAAGCAGCTGATCCAGAACAACATCTTCGAAATCGGGATCCCGTGAGTCAACCGCTTTCTTTTCACTTTCTGCAGCATCGTTGGACCTGAGACTTAGAAGACTGACGGCTGGTTGGCTGGTTTAGAAGACTCTAAACCAGCCAACTGGGTCGCCGTGAAACCAAAACCTTTTGTCACTTTACAACTACAAACTTCAATGCATTTCATTGCGAAGTAGTGTATAATTTATAAATGTGAGGAAAATGATGCAGCCATCCAGCTGCTTTTTGCAGTTTACATTTGCAAAGTGGCTCAAGCTTTGTCAGCTTTAATGAAGACATTGCGTGAACAACAGTTTCCAAGTCCTTCCACACACTCTCAGTTGGATTTAGGTCTGTATTTTGACTGCAACCACTCTAACACATGAAGATACTTTGACTTCAAGCACTAAACTGAAGCGGTGTGTGTTTAGGATCCTGTTGTTTGTCCTGCTTGAAAGGATTTTTCTATTTAAGTACAGGATTCCACTGCATGCAGCTTCAAACATTTACCCATTAGAGCGAAGCATCTTCTATGGCTGCAGATGAAAAGCATCCTGCCAGCCACGTCATGCTAATGTCATTGTTACATGTTGAGGGTGCTGTGTATTTCCAGCTATTTTTCTGCAAACAAGACTTGATGTGGTTTTCTTCCAAGGACGTTTTTCTTCTGATTGCTCTTAAAAGTAAATCATCTGAATTTCAATAGCCCAGTCATATTGACCTTTTGTCCCAGAAGGTACGTCTCCATACACCAAAACGCAAGACGACTTGCCAACAATCCTTACTTGAAGTCAGAAACCTTCTGACTGTTTTCTCATTGAGACAGAACAACCCAGAACATTAGATTCTAATACTTGTTCTACAAAAGGAGAGGATGGAACAGCGCCGTACCTTTGACCTCTTGGCTCCCTGAAGGCAGTTTGTTGCACTTTGTTTTATTTTGTGCCATTGAGAGTAAAAGTGTGTTTCTGATTGCAACACAACAAAGTCTCTGTTGTTTCCGTTCACTGGCCATGAAGCTGCCACTCACTCACTCACCCACGCTCGATCACAGTATCGCACGAGATTCCTTCTAATGACATTTCCTCTGGGTCATAGCGGAGGTGCGCCATTTTGTCTAATTATAGCTCAGTTTTTACGAGCAAATCCAAAGGGTCAGAGGTCAGCTCTGTTTACAACAGCACCTGGCCTGAGGCAGCATTGTTGCTGTTGCTATAACCCTGTGACCTGTTTGACTGGCTTCATCAAAGGTTCTAGTACGCGTGGTCGACGAGCCGTGGCACACGCGGCACAACTTACTACGTTCCGTCAAGTGGTCTGTGTCACATTCATACGCTTCAAAGTCTTCACGGCTGGTAGGCAGCCGATGGTTTACTGAGAAACTCGACATCAGAGTTCTGGTTTAAGAGGAATTCAGTTAAGTTACTCAGCAAGATTATAAAGATGATAAAGGAGAAAAGATTTACGAGCAGCAGCGGTGTACATGCAACATTTACTGCAACCAAATCTGTACCGCACACGCTGAAATATCTATTCTCAGACTCAAAATATGCTCTTGCTTGCTTACCAACACCCTGTTATGTTTCTGCTCTCTTGTTCAAATATTCTCTGCCAGTATTATTCTTTTTTTTTTCTCCTGCTCAAACTTGCTCCCTGCGTGCTCAGGTTCGTTCTTTGTCTCTCAGAAAAACGAAGAGGTGACTTGGTTCACCGTCTGATCATTGAATAGCTGGAGCTTCCCTAAGACCAGGCCAACGCGATGGCAAAGAGTGAGCTAGAGGAGAAGGACGCAAACCGGGTCTGTTTCTGCTTCAGAGCAGGATTTTAAGCTTGAGCGTCCTGTTGCTAAATTGAACAATTATGAAAGAGTGTTCCTCTTATATCAACCCTTGATATACACACCTTGAAATAAATTGGCTGAGACTGGACGACTGGAAAAATGTTTCCTTCGCCAGTGAGTCTCGCTTTTGACCGGGACATTGAGATGAGGCATTTGGCAAAAACAGTATAAAACTATGGATACGTGTTTCCTTGGAGGTACAATGTCAGTTTTAGATGTCCAAACATAAGTAAAAATCTGCATCTATAAAGTAAAACAATGCAGTCACCATAAAAGCTACAAATACAAAGTTTTTAAGCGACACAAATCACTTTGCGAGTTGAAATCTTTTTAATTCCGCCGCGGAACGAACGTCTTGGTTTGACAGCTTCTAACAACAGACTCCTTTCGCTGAACACAAATAAGGGAGAGTGTATTCTCAAGGCAACATATGGTTGCCAGGCCGGGCCTACACATCCTCCCAGAGGGCACATTTCTGTGGAATATTCACGGTGACGTCCTTCTGAGACCCAACATGGCTCTAAAACCACCTCAGTCCGATGAATGAGGAAACGAGTGAAATGTCCCTCACAGATCGTCTAAGTATGAACTGTGAAAAGAACGACCACACGTTTTTCCATTTTCACTACAGGTTTTCCAATTTCAAATCCATACAAACATCCAACCACACACCCACCAAACAGCCTTATTAATACGTCTTCACAGTCAGAGCACGTCTTTACCGTTAGCGCCGTTCAAATCAGAAGAATCAAAAGTAATGAAACTGTCTCCGATTCCCCTGCTAATTTCTGTTGCACTGATTCAGGTTTGCATGTCTGATGTGAGCCAGTCTTCCTGCCGTAACTTGCCTTTAGAAGCAGTCAGCCTCTGGTTGTTAGAGCGATGGGATTCCACTGAGATGTTTGCTTCTGAGGCGCTGTAAACATTTAGACTCAGCTCATGACAGAGTGCTGCAGACCTGCTGTGATTCACTGAAAATAATGTGGTTTTGCCGTCAACGCAGCATGTTGACAGTGTTTCTCTGTGAAGTCTCTGGTTTTTGATTCAATTAATGTTCATGAAGTTGAATACAAATTTCTCTTAGTGTCTTTCAGGGCAGGTTTTAATCCTCTGGGAACAAACTGTCAGAATCTTAGAACAGCACTAAATGTTTTCTGACCTTATGAGTTTTGTGTCTCATTGTTGGATATGTTCATTCTATTAAAACTCGTAATGCCAAGGCTGCTGAAAGTGTCAGGGAAAACAAACCATCACGGCTTTTTACTCCTAAAACATTGGGTCAAAATGTTAAGAAAGGTCGTGCCCTCAAGCCCTGTCATGTCTCTGAGCTTTAGTATATTGATTGTGTGTCGCAATGAGGGAAGGTTGCATTTTTGTCGGATGTAGAGGCTAAATGAATATTTGCAGGGACATACCTGTTCATTTTCAGAAATTAAAAATGGCTCGACCGTTTTGGGCTTAAAGTTCAATTCGCCATTAACAGTTTGGGATTATTACCGACTGGTTGAAATGGTAGAGGTGAATCAGTTTTACAGATTTAGCGCACTAGCATTAGCTTCCATGTAGCGCTGCATTGTTAGCGGAACATTCTGTTCGTGCTTATTGCTTCAGGGTTAGCACAACTAACTTCATCGTTACATGACGGTCACTCTCAGCTTCTCCTTGACAAAATGTAAAGATATGGTTTTTACAGTCACTTGAAAAGAATGTCAACTTTTGTTAAGTTTAGACTTTAATAAAATATTTGACCACTGCAAAGTTTCAGGACAATCTAATCAATCAATCAATCAATCAATTAAGCAGTGTGAGTGCAGATCTGCATGATCTCGCATGAGATCCAGTGATGTCATTAGCTAAAACTGCAACATACATTACATCACAATTACACAGAACTTTTCCAATACGTCCAAACATTTTGTGGCAGCCCGGCTTAGACAAAGATTAGATTGGACAATGCTGTGTGCCACATACAGCTCTGGAAAAAAAAAAAACATCTAAGAGCCAAGCACCAGACTTTTTGAACTTTTTTTAAAGATGGCAACATCTTTTAAGATCCAAGATGATGCTAGCTTGAGTCTTTTATGAGAATTCCCATCTAACTGTGTGGTCTGCACGCAGCCAAAAATACTTAAACCTCACAGGGAAACACTGAATCCCTGCAAAGTGCAGCAGCTTTAACTCTGCCGTTGAACGGTCCTCTATGTCTTTGGCTCAACCTGAACAGGAAGTTAAAGAAGCTGATCCACGCGCTGAAGGAGAAGAAGCCGACTCTGAAGGAGAAGGACGGGGAGCGGCCTCCCCAGCAGTGGAACCTGGACTACGCTCTGGCTCCGTTTGAAGGCCTCACACCGGAGTACATGGAGATGAGTAAGTCTGCATTCACACACACACACACACACACACACACACACACACACACACACACACACACACACACACACACACACACACACACACACACACACAGAGAGAGAGAGAGAGAGAGAGGAAACAGCCTCAGGGACAATGAAAAACCAACAATCATTTTAATTGAGTTTCTCTGAACATCACAGAGAGCTCTTACATAATCCGACCCCCTCCACACACACACACACACACCCTGCTCGTAAACACACGCGGTCGGACCGAAAAGCTTATGGATCCAGGATGTTCTGGAATTGTTTGGATGGGAACAGCTCTTTGGAACTGATGGAAGTTGTTTAGATCTCATTTCACTAAGCAAAAAAAGAAAAGAAGAAAGAGAGAAAACGGTAATAGATACTCGACCATGTATACATTTATATATTCTGCTTTCTGGAAGCTCTAAGTGAGCAGATAGGCTCGGTGTTTACACCAAACCACAGCGTGTCCATGTCAGCCAGAAACCGCAGTGCATAAACACAGGCAGATAAAAGCTTTCCTTTCCCTCATGGATACATGTTCATTGAGACAAATTACTTAACATCTCTCTAATGTTGGTTAGTTTTCGCTCCCTTGGTCTTGTTGTTAAATTGTAAAAATGTGTTTTTTGCTGTCATTTTAAAAGAATGTCAACTTTCTGTTCAGGACAGATGTAAAAATAGTTTCTGACACTTTCTATTTTTGATCGTTTGCCACACTTAAATAATGATCAAACGAATGTTGAAAATGTAACAATTTATTGTTACTACACCTTTATGCAAGCAGATAAAAACTAATGGAGATGAAGTTTTTCTTCCACAAAGGTGACCTGGCTGAGAAAGGCAGCAGCACACAGATAGTGGGCAAAGACACATAAACTAACAATATATGAAGTGCAAACAACAAACAGAACAAAGCCGTTTCCATCTCACGATTCCATTTATAAAGACCTTAAAATTGTTGGACAATTTCACATTTTGAAACTCAGAAATTTTCAAGTTTTTTTCTCGATAATTTCTACAATTTTCTGAGGACATTCTTTTTGACATTTCAAATTCAGAAATGTTTCCGTTTTTTTTTTCTGGAACATTTTCTTAGGTTAATCCTGATATTTCAGAGTTCTTTTACTTTTCTTTTGTTTTTTTGTACAATTACCCTTAACTGTCCTGTCGTGGTTAAAGGTGTTTTTCGAGGGTATCTCTAGTAGTTGTGGATTTTTTCTATTTCTTGACACAAACCTTTGAATATTGAGGGGTCAACTGTGTTTCAGTCATCAGGACAATGATAACGGCAACACAACCAACCAAGAAATGAATCACTGTCAGTCAAAGTCCAGACCTCGACTCACCTAACAAGCTGTGACCTCAGTAGACTGAAGGAATGTTTTCTGCAACATAAATCCTCCATACCATTTCAAGATGGAGAACGACTTCTTCATTCAACAGCCGGGCAGAATGAAGATATTCGATTTAGTTGAAAGACGTTGAAACGGAGCGGTGACTGATGGTTCCACGCTGTCACGTGAAAAGAGACGCCGCCACAGCTCGATATCTTTGATGCTTTTCTTCTTGCTGATGGGGGTCAAAGTTGAGCAACAGCACAGCAGAAACATCTACATGTAATTTGCTGCCGTTGTTGTTTCATGTTCATTCTCCGAACTACAAGGTGTGAAAACCTCCCGACCCACGTGGTGAAGCGTTGCGTTACATGGAAACATGGAGGTATGAGGCGAACATCTCAGGTCTTTAATTGCATTCCAAATTTTACAGCTTGAAAAGTCAATTTTATGTGTTGAAAAGGGAGATTTTGTTTGACACAGGAGGGTGGGAGGAAACCAGCCCCGGGGCGCATCGCAGAATGTCAGAAATGTCTGCGCTCCGTATGGAAAACGCACACACACACACACACACACACACACACACACACACACACACACACACACACACACACACACACACACACACACACTCTCTGTCTCTCTGACAGTCATGACTGTGAGTGGACTGTTGCCGTTCGCAGGGATTTTTCTACGTGGGGCCTGTCTGTTCCTGCGCCGCCTTTGTGTGGCTGGGCCGGACTCGGCGACCTCGGCTCAGGTAGACGGCGAGGTTACTCTGAGCCTGCCCCGTAGCGCTCGCTGCGCCGCTGCCGTATTCTCTTCCCGGCCGCTCTTTGTCTCGGCGTGGTGTCCCGAGGTGAAGCCGTCAGTCTCCGGCTCGCTGGAAATCCCCGTTCCCACACTGCTTAGGTTCCAGCGCTCCGGTCGCAGCAACGCGTCGGGGGGCCCCGGCTGGCCCACTGCTGTATCTGTCTCGGGTTTCCTTCTGCGCATTCTTAAGACGGAGGCGAAGCGATCGTTAATCAGCCGAGAGAGACACAACGTTCTCATTGATCAGATATGCTTCCCCCCTTTGGCAGGAGATGCTAAATATTCACGTTTATCATGGTGAAATCTAGCACCTGATATTTACCAGCAATATTCTCCAATCACTGGCAAGAAAGATCCAATCTGTTTCCTCTTTGAGAGAGAACTCGGAGGAAACAAGACATTCAGTTGTTTGACTTGGAAGCAGAAAAAATCACAGATTCTGAACATTTTTCCCTAAAAAAAAAAGAAAAAGTAATCGTTCACATTTAGAAAGAAATCATTTTAAAATAAAAAAGAAGCTTTTACTTCTTCTGTTCAATGAATTAGTACTTTATTGAAAAGTTCATTTATTTCAGGAACATTTTCACACATTTTATAGCTTCATTACACACAGATGGATGTTTAAATGCCTTTATGCTTGATAATTATTATAATTTATAAATCACATCAATTCATTTAAAATTGAAATGTTACTTCAGACTAATAAAAGTAATGTTCTGAATACAAAAATGTGTGTGCCAATTGTATCTGAATGAAGTTCATAATTTTAATTTGGTGCTAAACTCTAAAGGGCTATTTCAGTGTTTCTTAGGACAGCTTAAAAGAATTTCAAGAACTTAGACTGCAGAAAATCCATAATGTTGGATTTATGAAAAATATGATAAAGCAGCATGTTTTAGGAAATGAATCCTTCCATCTTGTGTCAGTGTTTGCTCTCATTTTAAATTCTTTCTTTGCATGTTTTTTCCAGTGCCTTTCCCACAACCCAGTGAATTAGTTTTAACTGTACATAACAGAAGCAAATAATTATATTTTTGTTTTATTTTTGTTCTGCGTCTCTCCACAGTTATCCAGTTTGGCTTTGTGTCTCTGTTCGTGGCGTCGTTCCCTCTGGCCCCGCTCTTCGCCCTGTTGAACAACGTCATTGAAATCAGGCTGGATGCCAGGAAGTTTGTCACAGAGTTACGCAGGCCAGTCACTGCACGGGCTAAAGACATCGGTAAGCTCATCCAACTTACCAACAGACTGGTACCAACACGTAAATAAGTCAAACATAAATTTTCATCTGACCGCCCGTTTCGGGAACTGACGATCTGACGGGAATAATTCAGCTTAAAGTATATTTTTGTCATAGGACGTCCTAGTCAAAGGCCAGTTCTAAATCCAATTTCAGTCTGTGGCGAAACTTGTGTTCACACACACTGCTTGAAGCCTCCAAAGAGAGAAATGTTTTGGTTCGTAAGAAAATAAACCTCGTGAATTTTTAATTTTCATAACATCTCTAACATTTGGCCCAGTTCCATGTAACCGAGACTAAACCTCCGCCTGCGCGTTAAAACCTCCTCCGAGCGCGGCTGACCTACTTACTACTCATTAATACTTCACACAACCCCACTTTAGCAGAAATATCCGTCAAAGTTCAGCAGACACACTCAGACAAGTCAAGAACGTTCTTGCAAACAACTTAGAAATAATTTCACCTGAATAAAAATTCTCCAAACGATGATCACCCTGCTGTAAAGCTGACGTCACTGCTTCTCTCTCTCTCTCTTCTCCAGGCGTATGGTACAACATTTTGAGCGGAATGGGCAAACTGTCGGTAATAATAAATGTAAGTATGAACAAACCTGCAGTATTTTTATTAGCAGTTAGTTTGTTAACGTTGAACCCTCCTTCTGAAGCTCCACAAGCAACATCTCTATCACATAATCATACTTTAGCTTAATGCTATTAGCATTCAGCTCGCATTCCTCTTCAGTTGGTTCAGTCTCCAGGTTAAATAAATTATTTTCAAACACAATTATGCGATGTAATTAAATAGCAAGAATTTGGGAGGAATCTCTCCATTTTCCCACATGACCTGCTGGTAAATGTTTTTAGTCGTTGCTTCTTCAGCCATTTGTTTTTTTTTTTCCCCTTTTGATAAACAAAAGATGATGAAATTAAGAAGCTTAATCATCGAAAGGTAAAATATCTTGAAGAACCAAACAGTAAAAATGCATTCGCCTTTTATTAGTGGACTTTGGACTTGTTACTTGATGGTGATTTTTACAGATTATAGAAACACAAAAAATAAAACAACTTTATGGCCAAATATTGAGCTCAGATTGGAGTAAAAATGCATTTGCTTGGAATTCACAAGAGGGATCATACAGTAGCTAACTTCTGAAAGTGTGAGTCAGCTGGTCATTTAATATATGATGCTCTCCTGCTGAAGCGTTCAGAAATGTAAATCTGTTGAGATCAGCTTTGGGCTGGGTATTGTCCAACCAACCAAATCCTTTTCTATTTACTTTAATACTGAAGAGATTTCTGAAGGTTTCCAAATCAAAAGGTTTGAATAAGGTGGGGAGATGGACCAAAGTACTGCACGCCTTTCTACGTGCTGTAAAAACAAGGAGATGGAATGCAGTGGAAAGGGAACACAGGTCACCCGTCCATATTCCAACACTTAACTGAATTGCTTTGAGTGTTGCTTAAATTAGAGAGGGCTGCAAGAAACTCTTTTGGACTGGCAAAGAGAAACTACCCACCATCAAGGAGTTGACCAGCCTCGGCTTGAAGTGACCCAGATCAAACAAGACAGTAGCTGCGCTTCCATTGACCATATAATCAGAAATAGATTTAATAGAAACACGGTAAAAAAAAAAACTCAAATTTTTTCAATAAAATGCTTTCCGTTGGGACGAGGTGGGTTTCTTTTGGTTTACTTCACAAAACTGCATCACAGGAGTCACATGATCAACAACAGAATGTCGCCACTGGTGCAAACCGTAAAGAAGACGACCAGACGTGGCTAGAGGATGACAGCACCGCATGTTTTTTTTAATGACTTGTCACGTGAGCGAACTTATTCATTTGTGATTTTTATTGCGTTTCTTTTTTAACAGAAACACAACTGTTGCAAAAGTGAGATTTTTTTTTGTTTTTTTTTTTTTACATTAGCATAATTTTGACAACGTTTTGCACAGATTTATTATGGAAACCCAGCTGGTCGAGATAAGATGATGTCTAGTCAAAGTTTTCGACTGGAAGACTTTCTTGGACATGTTCTGGAACCGATGCTAATGTGTCTGTATCATACTTTCACATTGACTCTGTTGTGGATAGCTTTGTCCGTATCGTAACTTTAAAAGTTCTCAACTTTTTCGATGACTGATGCCACTGATCAAACTCTAACCAGGCAAAACGAAGAACCTCCAACCTCCATTATATTGTTTTGGTTAAAATGGAAGCTACTGGTACAGATCAGATCGTCTGGTACGTTCGGGTCCAGCAGGGTGCCAGTGCCAACTTCTAGATTGATTTCAGACTTTAAAGGACTAATCCCATAAAAAATGAAACGGCCTGACTCAGTTTTTTTTCTCTGCTTAGGCCTTTGTGATCTCCTTCACGTCAGACTTCATCCCTCGGCTCGTCTACCAGTACATGTACAGCCAGACGGGCACCATGCACGGATTCATCGACCACACCCTCTCCTTCTTCAACGTTTCCAATTTCAAGCCTGGCACCGCGCCACACAGCTCGGCCCTCGAAGACATCACTGTCTGCCGGTACGAATCCCACCACAAAAAAAAAAAACACTCAGTCCTTAGATGTTTTATCTAATACTCGCAGTCGTTACAATGTTTGCCGTTCAGGAACGAAACACTATTTCCTTGTATGACAAAGATCTTTACTTGTTTTGTACCTTCAAAAAAAGTACAAATTTAAAGTAGGTCAGTTCATGACATGATTATTAGCCATTCTCAAATAATAAGGAGTAGACAACAGATAGATGAATTAATGTGAAGGTATGTCGAAAACGTAATTATCTTGTTTCAGTCAGTGGAGGAACCTTTTCTTGGTATCTGGAAGCGACTTTATTCAGAGACCGTTATGGGTGACAAGGAACCTCCAAGTCATTCTGTGAAGAAAACCTAAATGTCAAACCAAAAACAAGAAAACTCTCACAAATTTATGTGTATCAGTGTCTGACGTATTTAAAGGCCAATCATCATAATCTGCAGTCCAGAACAGCTTTGTGCAGCTGCTGAGATGTCCAGCTGGTTTAATTGGATTTCAAATATTATCTAAAGCACTTATTCATTGTAATTTAATTTTGAGTTACAGACTCGTTCAATCAAATAAACGTGCATTTATTTAGTTTTCAAATGATTATTGCATAAAATATACTTTTTATTTATTTATTTGTGCAATTCTGCACTTTGGAGTGTAAAATAAGTACAACAATCTGGTATTAGCTTGGTAATTAGCATTGTTAGCTTCTCTGGCAGCTAGATACAAACCACAGCTTTCATGACTTTGTAGCCTTTGTAGTTTGTTTACTGGAGCTTTAAAACGGTGTCACTTTTAATGAAAGTGCTTTGTAAGTTGGAGTTTTATTGACGTTTCTTCAAAGTGATGAAAAAACTTCATTCAGGCAGCTGAAAAGCAGTGCGCAGAATCAAGTGAGGGATGGAAATGTTATCAAAATGACTTAAAAATGTCAGTGGTAACAGAACTCCAAAATAACAAGGCCATATTTTTGGAATGTGATGTGCATTGTGTTTTATACAGAAGCTTCACTATTTCTAAAGCTGCAGTAACAGTTATGATCCTGTAAGTGTTGGAACCTAAACTTCTAAAACTCAATCAGAATGTCTACTAATTTAATTTCTCTCCACTGTAAAGTCTCATTTATGGTTCAGTTCCAGCCACTGGCAGCGTGTCCCTCACTATGTGGGCGTGAATACTGATAGGAACTTGGGCGGGAATGTGGGAACGTGAGCACACAGGATCTGTGGTCAAGACTGTTGAAGATGTCATCTTGCCTCTAAAACTTTGGGCGGTCAGTTTCTGAAAAATCTCTCGCAGTAATTGCTCGCTGTTCGTTGCCCTGTCCAGTTGAAACGAGCTATAAGTGCCGCCTTAGATCATCCAATTGCGTAAATCCATGAGCCAATCAAGGATTGCAGTTTGCCGCCAATCAAATCTCTTGTGCACAATTCCTGGTCAGCACCACAGGTGGTTCCAAAAAACATGGCAATTAGCCTTGGCAGCTAGAATACGGAAAATACGCATCGGGTGTATCGGGGGTTTTTCACCGTAGTTGCTTCTTCAGAAAGTGACTTCTAGCAACTTTCCACTGACTCCTTGGTTTTCTTTTCAGCTACCGACAACTTTACATCAACTGCAGATGCAACAAGCATCTTCTACACGTGAAACAAAAGCCTCAAAGTCGAAAACACCTTACTGCCAACAGTCCAGCTTTTTTAATTCAATAGTGTCAATAATTGCCAAATACAGTCCACCATTGTATATTCCACGCATTTTTGCTGGTGCCAATGGCAAGAATCTCCTTTAGAATGTTAAAATAAAGCACTGTAGTGGGAAAGGTCACGGATTACGGCGGCCACAGACAGCCAAGGCCGACCTGCAGTTACATAAGTCGGCGAAGCAAGAATACCATCTTTGTGCGGGAGGGCCGTGATGCGTCACGCCAAAAGTATGACGAGACGCTTTACGCCTGTAACGGTTATTAGGCGTGAAATTGGTAGCAAATGTCCCAAGAAGGGTGTTTTTGTGTCCCAATATGTACATCTCTGTGTACAACAGCTGTTTCTCGGTTCAGTAGCCAGACATCCAGCTCTTCATGTCAAAAAACTCCATGGAGTTAATGTCTTTTTATATCCCTTTTGTCGCCCCACGTTGATGTTGTGATTGTGGATGTATGGATGAATACATGTCACAGGACAGGCGAATGAATGGACGCATGGTAGTGTCAAGCTGAGTGGAAAGGAAGGGCGGAGGGGGCTGACAGCATTGATGAAATGATCAGATAAGAAGGCAAAGAAACTAGGCTTCTTTTATAACGAGGAAGCGATTAAGCCCGATGGAAAGATACCGGCACGGCAGACAGCAGAGGAGGAACGTAGCCACTCCGGGTGGTTTTAAAAAGACAGCCGGTGTGACAGAACCGTTTCAATTTTTAATCAGATTCAAAAGCAGCAGCATGACGGATTAAATAATCATTTCTGCATCAGCGGACTGCACATCTCTGCAGTGTTTGAGATTTTACGTGACTTTTTACGTGAGCTTCTCGTGGCTTTAATTCAGTGCTGAAGGTTTTTCTAAATAACGTTTAGAACTGTGTATCATTTTCATTGAACTTCACAATTATACTGTCCTTCGATGCACTCCCACAAAAAAATCGGAAAAAATGTAAGAATCAAGCAGTAGGAATGTGAATTATGGTGAATACGAAAAGTCTAACTAGAAGCAGGTCTTCTTGAAAAAAGGCAACTTAAAGTCGTCATCTGAATCGCAGAGCTAAGCATGGTGTGCTGCATAAGCCATGGGCGTCAGTCAAACAGCCAATTACTTCATTTGAGTTAGTTAAAATAGATTACAAATGTGCACGTGTACATTTTAGACCCAATTAACCGCTCCGTGTGTGTTTGTGTGTGCTCAGCTTAAAGAGAGCTCTGTACTTGTAATTCTTCGCTACAAGTTTTAGTCGGCGGTAACGAATCTGCAGGTGACGTTCATCCTGATTAGCTTAGCGCCGCTTTCTAAATTACTGACAAACTGTTAGTGCGTCTGTGTGCGCTACAGACTTAGTTAAGCTCATCTATCAACACTCTGTCTTTGAGCTAATTTACAAAACACACACTTGCCCTGTGGTTTGTGTTTTAGAAGGGTTGGTGCTCTGTTTGTACTCAAGTATCTTCAAGTGAGCTAGCTTGGCAGTAGCATACCGCCAAGCTAGCTACTTCATCTCTTCTCCATTTAAAAGAAGCTAACGATTTTAATATTCCTCTGCCTTCTGTATTATAATATTATATGAAAACTTTGCTAGTATTAGAGGCTAAGCTTAAAATTTACACCTCAGAAACACAGAAAACAGTAGACGCAACAACAAAAACATAGGAGATAGAGACATGTTATTGTTCCACTATGGCCGCTCTGCCATAGTGGAACGATTCCGTTAAAAACAATGAAACCTGCAGATGTAGGCGTCATTAATTTCATGAAAAATGGGAAATAATGCTGAGAAACCATTGAAGAACGACTCGTCGTCGTCTTCTTTTCTTGTTTGCTGTCGGCTGCACTACAAAGAAACCTGTTCAGGATTCAGCCCAGAAAACACACAAACATTTCCCACACAAAGAACAGAACATTCAATCTGTTGCAGTGTCAGGATTTAAGGCTCGATGTTTATTTTGCGATTTTTAACAAACGAACACAAGATTAGCTCATTTAAACATCTGCTCTACTGATGATGTGTCAGAGAGTTGGTGTGTGGGTCACCTTTTCTTTTTTTTTTTCTTTTTTTACTGAACCGAAACACCAAATTCCACAGCACATTTGCATGTTAAGATTGTCAAAGTCAAGCATAATTGACCTAAAACTGTTAATTTTTTTGAACTAAAACTTTTTCCTGACCTGTTAAATGTGAAACTATTAGACCTTGTTATCTAGCCTACCTGGTGATGACAACAGTGTCCCTTTCTCTTTAATATATCACTCGTACATTTAAGACTTGGAGTATTATGGTGACACATTGACAGCTAAAACCAGTGGTAGTCATCGTAGGAGGGATTTTGAGCGTGTGATGTCTTGGTGCAGCGAGGCGACAGGCTGCAGGTGTTTGATTTTTGAAGAATACTGACCTCAAGTACACAAAAAATAAAGGGAAAGAAAACTTCCAAAAATTTGAACCTTTCATCCTTGTTAATTTCACGCACAACTTTTTTTCTGGTACCATCTACCAAAGGAAACCAAAGGGAATTTCTGACCAACCATATCTCAGTTCATACCATCCATGGATCAGGTATGAATTGAGGCATTTTCTAAATGAAGGTTCTTCTTCTGCCTTCGTCGACGTCTATAAATCATTGTTCAAAGTTCGCTGCTCTGACATCAGGCTGCATGTGTTTATGTTCTTATCACCCTGAAGTCAACCGAGGGCCAAGCAGCTATGCGAAGGATTATTGGGAGGTTTATTATTGGACATCTGTTCTCGGCGCATCAGGCGAAAATATTTATTCTTCATTTCATGAGCTGCAGAGATAAGCTCTGCTCAGAAAATTATTACCGCAGAACTAATAAGAGGGAATCTGGTAAGCATCGTGCCGCAGATTTTGGTTTTTGCTCGACTTGGTACATTATTTCCGTGTGCGTGACATTTTGAGTTATTTACCCTTTTCGACATTCAAAAACCCAAGCAGTCAGATGTTAAGGGTTCACGTAACTCTTTTTAAAACCATATGGTTTATTGTGGTTGTTGATTTGCATTATCTGGAGACTGGCAGAAGACGGATGTCTGCGTTTTTCATTATCCACAGAAACACTTGTAAGAAGGCTTTTGGAATTAATCTACAAACTCACATGCAGTTTCCTTCAGTTTGGACCTTGTGTTCACTTAGAGTTACATTTATGTTTTACAAATCACTGCTGAGATGAGACAGGAAGTTGAAGGTCACCACTAGGGGACACGGTGGATGTAAACGCATAAAAATCTCCTTTGTAAAGAGAGACGAATTGAACCATGTAGTAAGTAGATGGTTCCCTTGAAGGACAGCTTGTGCTCTATACTGTGATTTTATTGACAAGGCATCAAAACCCGAATCTCAGTTTTGGGGCCATGGGGCATCAAGTAAGGTGACACAAACGAAGCGGAAGAAGCACCAGAAATTACGAAACCACAACTTAGAAAAACATTAATCTCTGAAATTTTCTAGAAAAACTTGGAGACTTCTGAGTTTGAAAAGTGGAAAATTGCTAGAACAAAACTCATATGCTTTGAGGTTAATCTCAGAAATGTTCTTGGAAAAAAAAAACTTGTAAATGTCTGAGTTTGAAAATTTGCAAATCTGCTAAATAAACAAAAAAAAATAATAAATTAAAAGTTTTTGTGAGGGCCCCCAAACTGATTAAAATGCAATTATCAAAAATAATAATAATAATATTAATTTGTGGGAAACAAGTAACCACCTTCTTTTTTTTTTTGCCTAAAATATCTTTTGAAGGTGAATAGGTGGTGATCTCTCCCCCTCCCCCAAAATCACTTCTGGCAAAAATGACTTAGTTCGTTATATTAGGAAAGCGACAATAATCCATACAGGTTGTAGCAAATATTTCAGTTTCTAGTTTATGGCTGTCCCTCCCCTTTCTGCTCGCAGTTTGGACCTTGTCTGCATTAATCAACTAATGCAGACTATTGCCAGCATAACTAAGTAGCTCAGGATTATCTTTTTTTCCTCCATCTAGGTAACTATGACAATAGATTCATAAAAAAAAATACCTTAAAAACTTTGGGACCGTAAAGCAGTATGGGGTATTACCTGTTTGTTTGTTGTTGTTGGTTTTTTACATACTATTCTCCTGTCCAAATTCTGCTTTTTCTTTTTTTTGCTTGTAAAATCTCTAAATAAGAAATGAGAGGGGATGGCAGATTTGTTATATCAAACAAAAAATCCACACATCAGCAGGCAGAATCAACCCTGACAGAAGCCATATATTCTGATAGGGTGTGTGTGTGTGTGTGTGTGTGTGTGTGTGTGTGTGTGTGTGTGTGTGTGTGTGTGTGTGTGTGTGTGTGTGCGTGTGTGTGCGTGTGTGTGTGTGTTTCTGGGATGGGAATGCTTTGACCCTTGTTTGTCTGTAAATATATTCTGGGATCCCAGGAGGCCTGATGTTGGAAGCAATAACTCATGAACACACACACACACACACACACACACACACACACACACACACACACACACACACACACACACAGATTCACATATTTAACCTTTAATCCATGAATCATAAAAACCATTATCACATTTCAATTCAGTTCAAATCAAAAAAGTACTTCATTAACTTCAGAGGGAAAGTAAATGTCGTTACTCATACAGTTATCTTGAAAGAGTTGTTATAGATGCTGATAGCTGTGGGTAGGAAGGATCTCCTGTTGAAGTCTGTGTTACAGCAGTGCTGAAGAAGCCTCTGACTGAAGACACCTGATATGATATGACAATTTTATAGAGAGGATGGTCAAGATTGTCTGTAATTTTCTTCATCTAATGAAGAATTCTTTACATTCTAAGAAATGTTTCTGTAATTTGTATTTCAACTCAGATACTAAGAGAGAGAACTGTAAAATAACATAAAACATACACTTTATTTTGTAATATTCATGACAATGGAAACATGGAGCAGAAAGAAAACACATGTATAGTCCTCTAATGTTTCTGTGACAGAAACGTATGCATTTCCTCTTTAATTCAGTTGAGACAGATTAGGTTGAAATGCAAGGAGAACGACAGGAAGTGAAGACCAGATCACATTAGAAGTCGACCTTCGAGTAAAACACTGTAAAATATTGTCCAGTGAAAGATGAACAGATTAAAGGAGAAAAAGAGGGGAGAGGAGCTCAGTCTCAAGAAACATTCCTCATTTATGACTGTATAAGGAGAAGGAGTCAGCCATCATAAGACCCTGCTACGACACACACACACACACATTGTCTCACACACACACTCAGTGTTCATCCTCCTCTGTTTGCTGCATCCTCTTCATGTCGGCCTCAGTGAGATGCCTCATTCAGAGTGTTTTATCTTCAGAGGAATTTTTTGCGTGGCAGGGTGTGTTCATGTGAGCGACGCGCCACGCTGCGCCTCGGCGACCGTGATGCGAGCGCTCGCATTAATGTGACGCGGTTAACTGGTGAGGTCAGCCGCTTCCTGTCGCCACAGCCGCCTCTCGCTAAAAGACTCTTTGATTCGTTTGCGTCGTGAGCGACTTTGCCTGAACCTGAGGGAGCTTCATGTCAGACTGCAGAACCTTTTTTGGGGGGTTTGTTCTGGAGAGAATGTGCTGCTGATTTAATAAATTTGAGAAACGTGATTGAGGGATGACAGAAGAAATGAAGGAGCTCTGTGATGTAAGCTGAAATGTTTGGCAGTGGTTAATGCTTTAAAAGGGAAAGTTGTCCCTTTTTTTCCCCCAGACTTGGCTACTCAAGATAATTTGAGTAGCAATAAAAATGATTGGAAACATAATGTTATATTTTAACATTGAGTTCAACTCCTTTGCCAATATAAAAGGGTGAGTTACAAAAATAGATGATACAAGTTTATTGAGAAGAACAGAGTGAGAGTATGAAACAGTCCATTGCGGTCACGCCACAGCAGACCAGTGATGAATCACTAGTAGTAAACCAGTGTGTGGATCTCTCCTAGCCACGCGCGAAGGTGATGTGATTGGCGCAGACTGCGTTTACTGATTGGCCTGTGGATTCCGCGGCGAGGCTGATCATTGACTGACTGACTGACTGTCAGATGATGCGCTGAAAATCAATAACTCTGTGGTCAAGCCTCGAGGTCCAGACCTTGTTAACTATTATGGTGGAAGAACGCATCCAGCATCAAATTGGTCGACCAAGGGTAAACGTAAAATGCCTCCAGCCAATCGTCCGGCTCGCTCATGGTCCCGCCCATGTTCACGTCCTCATGGTAACGGACACATCGCCAATGGAGACACACCCAACTCGGTTAGGACTGAATCGGATGTCGACCACCTCCTGTGGGACTTGGCAATAGAGAAGGGGGTTGAGTTCCTCCTTCTGGTCCATCAGGAGTCACTTTCATTTTATCGGTCAATAAAACATAAAAAAGTCATCAAATCTGTCTTTAAATATGTTTTGTGTTGTTCGGTGGTGGTTTGGTTTCAGCCCTTCTTACCTGGGCCGTGTCTCTGAGCTTCTTGTATTCCAGGGAGGTGGCAGTTCTGGAATATGACAGAACTGGAATGTAACGGCTTCTGGTAGTTTAGCACTTGATTCTTGGCAGTCATGTTTTTTTTTCTGAAGTTTCAAAATCTTTCTTTTGGCTCATTTTGCCAAAAGAAAGCTGCCTAATAATTACACACACCTGGATATAGAGTGTTGACCTCCATAGGCCACATCCTCCGGTCATTACAGACACACACCACCTGCTACACTTAAATCCACGTCTATTCAGAGAAAATAGACTGAAAAAGCATTAATCACACATAATACTCTATTTCTATTTTTCACTGATTCTGTTGGCTGATTATCTGTAAACAAACAACATATCAACTGATCCATTTTCATGCTTTTCATTTTTATCCTTCCAAGAGATTTTGGGCCGATTGTGAGACAGTTTGGGTTTGTTCTCTGTGATTGATTCTCTTGGTCTTAACTGCTTCCTTTGTTGCCTCTCTTTGTATCCCAAATGCAGTAATTTAACTTAATGCCGGCTGGACGGTTTGCTCTGTAGAGAGCAAGGGGTTTACAATGCCAGCCTTTGTTTCGTAACCACTCAAACTTCTGAGTATTGATTACTCCGAGACGATTCATTGCTGAAAGATTCTCTTCTGATTAACAGCGAGTTGAGCCGTGCCACGGTTAGCCTTGGAAGGAAAAATACATCTTTTATTCCGCATCTCGGGGGGAAGGACAGATACTTTTAGACATATTTGTTCAAACCCAGTCTAGATGTTTTGTTCCGTCATTCATACATACATAAACTTACTTTCTTAATGTTTTTATGACTCCTATTGTTTATGCCCTGGACTTCACTCTAATCATTGAACTGCTGTGTCCGACTGGAGCTTATACCTTTGGTCAGCCTTTTGGAGCTTTAAATACAGTTTTCATTTGCCTGTTCTGTTTCGTCTTTCGTTCCTGTCTAACCATTTTCCATTGAATGAAATGTAACTCCTTCATGATAAGTGCTTGGATAAGTGACATAAAACTCATAAATGTTTGTGTTCAAAGTGAAAGACTTCCATTGAGAAATCTAGAGATGTTTATCTCTAGATTTAAGGTTTTTAAAGTGGATAAGCAGCTTTTTACTTTGAATTTTCTCTCTCTCTCTGTCGGCTTCAGACGTTTTCTCCTCCTTTCCCTTCTTCATTGAGCGCGTTGGTTGGCTCTTTCTCAGGATGCGTTTCAGGTCGTCTGCTGTTTATTTTGGCCTGCACCGTAAAGATGATTTACAACGAGGCAAACGAAAGAGAAGAATGCAAATAAAGTTGGCTGCATTTTGAGCCCAGACTGAATCAGCATCTGTCCTGGATAGCTGAAGGATAGGAAAATGTCTTACAGGATGGTGGCCTGTTTGGTGTTTCCTGCTCTATTAATTTTATTTACTCCTTTACTTTCCTCTGGGTTTTAAGAACACAAAGGTACTAGTACTTCTTGTCTCTTGTTTTAGGTACAAGGACTACAGGGAACCCCCCTGGTCTTCTGATGCGTACCAGTTCTCCAAGCAGTACTGGTCCGTTCTGTCTGCCAGACTGGCCTTCGTCATCTTGTTCCAGGTGTGGGTTTGTTGTGTTCCACCAATGCCCGCCGTTAGCTAATCCAAAACGTTTAGATCACAATGTGCTCTTACGAACTAAACGATCTCAGTAAACAGCTTTTGTTCTCTGGTACACAAACATGTGGCGACCAAATGTGGAATTATGACTCTAGAATGTTTTTCACATATTTGGCTTCGTATTTTATTTTAAAAAAAATTTTTTTACAGGACTTTAAGAGAGAGATACAGTCCCAATTTCACTTTAAAACTCATCGTTTTTCTGGCTTTCCATCTGCAGAGGCGACGTCACACTGTGTGTATGAGAGCCAGGGTTTAAATATACGTCTAATAACTGATGAATTTTGAATTAATATGAGTTGCAATGACATTTAATTTCCCCCCAAGGTCAATGAAGTATTTTTTAATTGAATTGAGTTGAATGAAAGTGTCTTTAGCGTCTTATGTCAGCGGTTAGCATGATGTGCACCATCAGCATACCTACTGCAAGCTGCCACCTCTGTGTGTGTTACTTATGGAAATTGTAGATCCTTTCATCAATTCTGGGTTTTATAAAAAAGCTGCTGTTGATTCCAAATCCAGCAATTTCCAAAAGGGAAAACATCGAAGGATAAAACAGAGAGACTTTACCGAACACGACAATGTTTCCTTTAAGAAGAACTCACATTTTTCGCTGAAGAGTCTCAACACAAGGATGAGGTAGGTTCTGAAACGAGTCACATGATCAACAACTGGACGTTACTGCTGGAAGACAAGAAGAAGACAACGACAGGAAGTGGCTGGAGAATGATGCCGCGGCCGGTTTTTCATTACTTGTCATGCAAACAAACTTATTCAGCTGTGATTTTAATTGTTTCTTATGTGAAGGAAACATAACTATTGCAAATTGTGCTCTTTCGACACTGGCGGCATATTGACAAAGTCTTGCAATAACAAGAAAAAAACGGTTCAGTTTATGTAAATACCTCATTTCAACTGAACGTTAACCTATGCTTCCCTCTCCCTCCCAGAACTTGGTGATGTTCCTCAGCCTCATGGTTGCCTGGGTGATCCCAGACGTCCCCAAGACTATCGTGGAGCAGCTCAAACGGGAAAAGAAGCTCCTGGTGGATCTGTTTCTGCAGGAGGAGAAGGAGAAATTCCAGCTCATCCAGAGCCTCTTCGTCAAGCCCAACAGCCAGTCGCCCACAGCGGGCCCGGCCTTCCCCGTTCTGGGCAGATACAGCACTCTGCCCTCGGGCCCCACAGCCGGAGACGGAGGGGGGCCGAGGGCGAGGTCCAGGGCCGCCAGCTTCAGTCAGTTCAGCGACAAGATGTCTTCGTTGCCCAGGAAAGAAAACGCAAACTCAAAGCACACGGCGGTGTGACGCGTTCCGTTCCGCCTGGTCAGGGCAGAAGGATTAAGTTTAAACGGGGCCTGTAAAGCCAACAGACTCGGCCCTTTTCCTGTGTGTTGCCTGTATCGTTTGTGTCCTGGTGTGTGTGACACGGTAGTGCGGTGGTGATGTCATCACAGGTCTCCTGCAGAAGTATAGACTGGTCCTTGCTGGCCTCAGTGTGTGGCTCTTTAACAGTCAGCCCTGAACGAACGGCTGTGTGAGAGTTCTGTTCCAACTCGCACGACTGTTCACCTGACAAAGTGTTGTCATTTTTCTCCTTTTTCTTTTTTGTACAATCTATTTAGTGAGGCACATGAGCTTCATAGCGTAGAGAAGCAATAATTACTATATTAGGTTGAATAAGTGGTCAGGAACCTGGAAGAACTGCAAACCAACAGACTACTTTGACAGGAAACACTAACCCACCAACAGACTGACCAACATCGTGGCTTAAACTTTAGGGCTGTCTGATCTGTGATTTTCCTACTTTGTGTATTTTTGTTTACAGATTTTGTAGCTCTCACGACATTCCACATTTTCTGGACTGTTTTTGATTCTCTTTATAAATTACTAATAACTTTAAAGGTGGTTTACCCAACCGATGGTGACCGGTGATGACGGCTGCTGGTTGGTTCCTTCGGCCCCGCTCTAGGTGCTGATGGAACAGGGAAATGCCAATATGGCACACTGTGGTGCCGTTCACCTCCCTCCAAACTGTAGTATCAGAACTCCATGATCTCTGAGGCTGAAAATCTCTTCTGAGCCATAAGGAACTTTTGCTGTCCTCACCATGACACTAATGGACAGAGTGAACTACACTCACTGTGTTTCTGCTAAATGAATGAAAAACTACATCCACATTCCTTTATAATGAAGCAGTGGAGTTCTCCTGGGATCAGGGTTCTGACCGATGACCTTTATGTTGCGTTGGTGAACTTCAAAGTCTTCGATTCTTCAGACGTTACACAGGTTCTTCCAAAAATTCGCACCCCTCGAGTTTTTTTCCCCACATTTTGTTACAATCGCATCCACAAATTTGACTGTTTATTAGGATCTTATGTGATAGAACAACACAAAGTAATTCATAATTGTGAAGTGGAAGAAAGAAAGGAAGAAAGAAGACGTTTTTCGGCATTGAGTTTGCATGCTCTCGCAGTTCAAGCATAGATTGTCTCCGGGTACTCCTACTTCCTCACACAGTCCAGAAACATAACTCTTCAGTTAATTGGTTTATCTAAATTGTCCCCAGTGATGAGTGTGTGCGTCCATGGTTCCCTGTTCTGTGCATTTGTGTTGCGCTGAGATGTACTGGGAACTCACTTAAGGGTATTCTGGTAAAAGCCAGCTCCTTGTTCTGGACTTCGCTTTGTCCAGAGAGACTGGTCTCTCGACTGTTGAGAAGCAATCGCTTGCTGGAGGAGTGGACTTTCAAACAACTGGATCTCATGTTGCCCAGTCGCTATCATCTGGCTGTGACATACGTAATGCTCCAGCTTGATCAAGCTTACCGGAAATTGTGTGCGCTGTAAACAACTCCGTGGGGAGTAATGCCAAGACATCTTTTGCCAGCAATAAAATGTCTTAAACATTCATCTCGCTCCGACTTTAATTGCTCGATGCGTCGTTCACTTCCTCATTTGCCAAGCTTCAGTCCTATAGAGGCAGACTCTAGTTCTAAAATCAACTTTGTCTATAAGTCCTGCTGTTCGCTGATTGGCCCGAGTGAAATTGATCTGTAGAAATCAAGCTCAATCAGAGAAACACTGAAGGGAGATGAGAATTGAGTGGAATTGCTTTGGAAAGCAATGGCCAGACTGATCTCAGGGGTACGCCATCTTCTTCCCCATAGACCGCTGAAAATAACCCCCTCATGATCCTGCAAGGACAAGACAATAGTTAGTTTGTCCCCAACAAACTATCCAAAATTTTTTGCAAGGCTCGTAAGGTGCGTCTCAACATCTACAGAGTGATATATATATATATATATTTAAATATTGTAATATTTCTTTCACTTCATAAATGTGCTTACACTGTGTTGGTCTATCATATAAAACCACATTAAAGCACTCTGAAGGTTTTGGTTATAACATGTTAAGTGTAGAACAGCATAAGGCATTTAAAGACTAGCAAGGCTCTGTACATCTGCTGCTTTTAGTAAGAGTTCCCTAGCAAACCATAAACTAGCATTTTTACAGCCGTGGCTCTGAGAAAACTAACAGGACATAATATAGTTGTTGTGTGTTAAAGTGGAACTGAAATCTAAGCTGTAGTTTTGCTGTAAGCACTAGAGAAACCGCAGCTATTGCGAAGGGAAAACCTTTCAGAGCAGCAGCGACGCTCATCAGCGTTCGGTTTGTGAGGCCTTTTGGATTTATTACTAAGCTTTATGATTAGGTATTCGACAAGCTGCCACAGAGAAAACGTTTTCTTAACAATTTCTTTTAGGTTTTGTAAAGTCTGTGAAACATTCTGCTGTACTCAGTATTCGAGAGAAACCTACTGTGCTATTTGTCCATGGAGTAATGTTGAAGCTAATTGTCCGATGTTATGTTTAAGTAGGCTTGTTTTACGACTAGATAATTAGCTCTATAACCAATAGCTAAAGCTGAATTTTCCACTACTACTGTTATCTAAAAGGATCATTATTATGGAGAATATGCTCATCGACAAACAAGCTTGAAGACCCAGATTAAGGTCCGGAAATACATGAGATTGGATCCTGTGGAGGATCTTGGACCAAATGGATGAGAGGGTTTGCTGTACGGGTACAGCAGCGGCCCAGCGGGCTCGACACATGGTTTGCGACGAACCGCACATAACGCAACGATTTTTCATCATTTGGGCTGAACCCAACACACGGGACACGACAGCAACATCAGTGGCGCTTCAAAGTTGAACATTTTCCCAACTTCTTTGTGTCGCGATGCCAGCCCCTGTTTGCACGTCTACGTGTATGAGCTTGAAATTTCACAAGCACGGCTGAAGGAGAGCAAGTGGTTGACGCCTTATCGGGCAGGTCACTTAGGAAATGAATAGCGAGGAAATGACATTCCCTCTCAAGCCCTTTATGTCTGGGTTCAGCACCCTTTTGGCCTTGATACAGCCCATATATTTGGTGTGACAAGTCATGCAATTCATTTCATGTGAGAAGATTAGCAAAAGCATAGTCTGCATGGCTCACAGCGTACGCACTGTATCCCCGAGTTTGTGTGAAACTTATCTCTTGAAAATCGTCTCCAACTCAGACCAGTCCTTTCAAGTGCTCAAGATTTTTGTCATTGACAGGTGAGATGTCCCCAATCAGCGCGACACATCGGAATGTAAGTTTAAGGCCATTCATTTCTGTTGTTAAAAGCACGAGGTAAGACCGTAACTAAGATCACCAATAAACCTAACCAGCATGGATTTGGTCTATTAGGAAAAAAAACAGATGAGGTTTCTAAAAACAAAAAATAGTCTCAAATATTATTCCTAAAACAATGGCCTAAGTCATTTCTTGATAAAAGTGATTTTTATCAAACTCTTTAGTTCATTGGATGATTTTATGCCAGAACTGCTGGTGCTGTGTTAACGTTGACTTTTTCAAAACGTGACTGGCTTCCATTCCATCCAGTTTATGGTTGTTGACTCTTAACACACATATACTTGTAAATTAGACTTCATGTCACCTTTCACAACGACTCAAACCAACACAGGACGTCTCAAAACCCAAGCAGCAGCTTGTTTCATTGGGATTCAAAATGAAGCTGAAGACAAAGAAGAGAGACATTTTTGCCACCAAAGTGTACCAACTCAAGATGTCCTCACCGGAGTTTAAAAGAGAGGTAGGGGCAAATGAAAGAATGGAAAACTAGTTGGAGAGTGGATGAGACCGTCCTCAACTCCACAAACTGCCGAAATGCTGTAAAACCTTCGATTCTGTTTTCTCACGCCTTGGTAATAGTTCCTCATTTCCAACTGAAGACAACATGCGTCTCTTCAGACAGGACTCAGTCACAGACTGTTATCTTTACATGTATTGAAATCTTACTTTAGGAAATTGTGATAAAAGGTATATTTGTTATAGAAGTTTCTGTTGTTGATCCTTACTTAAGCTGGTGTACAAATCCCTAAATACAGATTTGTTAAATGGATTCAAGTGCATTTTTTTCCTTATGTTCATTTTGTTATGGAGGCCAATCTAATATTTATAAGGTTACCTCTTAATAGAGTAAACCCAAAACCACATTTTGATCAATCTTTCCAACAATATGGCAGTCCTGTTTTTCTTTTTTTTCCAACCGTCAAATAAACTTCTGAACATGTTTTTCCTTCCCAGATAAAAGGATGTTTTCATTTCTCTCAGACCGAGTCTCTGAGATTTCTGCTTCCTCGTCTGAAAACGAGAGTGAAACAATCATAAATTCACTCTGCGGCCTCCGTGTGCGATTCGGTTCCAGATGTGAACACGACATGCGGAACTCCGCAGCTACAACATGGCATCACGATGCTACTTGCTTTTACAGCGGGACGTTTTTAACCGTCACCAGCTGGCGCGGCGGAGCTGGGGTTGAGCAAACCGACATCCTGAAAGTGGCATTCTGGGACTCACATTCCTGACATTTACTGCTCTGTAGGAGGAACAGTGCCACGCACTAATGAAGGAGATGTCATATCCCAGGAACTGCTGGTATGTCCTTGTAAACTACATCTGGATGTACAGCAGTTTTCTTTTCCGTTCTGATATCCGTCAGCTTTTTCTGCGATCCTTTAAAAGCAAAAGATTTGAAAGAGTGGGCCAGGCCCAGCGGCAGGGGTGGACATTGGGGGGGCCATTGCCTGCCCACAGAATCAGCTGTGGCCCCCTGGACTGAAAGCTGTTTGTTGTTTTTACCTTACAATGGCCGACTCTGTTATTCCTATGTCAATTTGACAGTCGGGGCTTCAGCACTTCCCATATCTGTGTCCTCTGTCACTTTTATCAGCAGTTAAAACTGAGCTGCCTTCAAACGCAACATGAGCGCTAAGAAGCTCGTGCCGGTTTTCCTGCTGCTGCGCAGAGCTACTGAGGAACTGCTAGTATCAGGGCAGCAAACCAGCAAAAGGCGAAGAACTTTGCAGTTTTTCCCCAAAACTAAAGACGATGCAAACAAAGCGTTTCCATTGCAGTTTTGTGAAATCCTCAAAATTCAATATGGCCGAAAAAGCACTGCCCTAGCACAGAAAAGTATCATAAAAAGATATATATTTTTTTTAATTAATATGTTAAGTGAATATATTTTCGCAATTCCAATTTGCGCAAACATGTTCTCAGTAGAAACACAGTTATTGTGTCTCAATAGGAGGAAACTCTTAAAATATATGAGAAGCCAAAATCCGACAGCCGTCAGTCTGGAAGGAATTACAAAGCTATTTCCACCACTGATATCCACTAAGGGAGAAATAGTGGAACTTTTCCCAGGAGTGGTCGGCCAATCAAAATCACTCAAAGGGAACATTGGCGAATCACCCAAGAACGGAAGAATCCAGAGCGACATCTGAAGCTCGCCTCCATTGTGGTCAGTGTTCATGATTTAACACAGTGGACGATAACCGCATCCAACACCAAAACCACCGCCCAGCAAAACAAACATCCTGACCTGCAAACATTTTGGGAAAAATATTCACAATTCCAGACCCTAACAAAAATATTTAAAGCATTCTACAGAATCGGTTTCTGAAACTTTACATGGCTTTTTAATGATTGTATTTTGTATCTGTTTGGGAACAGAAGCCCACTCTGAAATGAGCCTAATTAGAAAGACGAGTATCGGAAAGCGAAACGTCATCCATCTGTATTGTTTCCATGCCTTTGTGTTGGTGTTTTATTGTTTCCTGCCTCCGGCTAATTCCTGGCCTGCCCAGATTTGTTTCATCCAAACTCCTCTAACTCTGGAAAACTAACAGGTTCACCCAGACTGGAATAAAAGACTCAAACTGAACACAAAAAACAGAATCCTGTATGAAATCCTGCATCTACAATTTCTGGTTTAGACATTTTTTAATAATCCGTTAACTCTGCGACTGGCGGCGTGGCAGCGCTTTCTGCCCAGCATAGATCAGACATTAATATCCACATTAATATTCACGTCACAAAGACTCAAGAAGAGCTTGTACATGTTGACTGACACGTGTGTCTAATTATCAACCCTTTGCATTCTTTCCCCCTTTTACACAGCAGGCCCTCAGACGTGTAGAAACAAGAGAACACTTTAAGCTCATTTTTAATTGGAGCGTTCCATCCGGCACCCTGGCTTAGTGCAACAGAGAAACACAACTTAAAGGAATCCATTAAGTGGGGCTGATATCATTTTAGAGAAAGAGCGGCGAAAACAAAGAGCTACTATAACCATGCGATGGAGCCGGAAAAACTAAACTCCAACCTACGTTCTTTACAATCAAATCAAACCATGTCCTAAGACGCCCAGGAGAGGTTTATTTAGCTCAATATTTAATGACAAAGCTTAATATCTTGTTTACAATCCAAATATTTCATTCTGTCCTCAATATGTCGCTGAATTTTTAAAGCTTTGCTAAAAAATTAGATTACAAGCTAAATGTTTCGTGGAAAAATATTTTGCTAACCAGGCAGTTAATTTGAAGCTAACTATTTAGCTGAGAAGCTAATTGTTTGACAGAAATATCTATACGAACAGCATATTTAACGCTCACTTAAATATTTAGCTCTGAATCAGCTAAGTATTTAGCTTAGCTATAAATATAACTTGCTAACTAAATATTCAATAAAAAAAAGCTAAATATCTAGTTTACAGTCTATTTAGTTCTAATCTAAATATTTAACTGTGCGATTGCTAAGTGTTTGGCTAGTTCCAAGCTATGACGCTTTATATTTTGCATAATCTAATTGATTATTTATCTTGCTAACCGGGCATTTAATTTGATGCTAAATACGTAGCTAGCAAGCTAATTGTTTGGTTGACAAAATATCTAGCACACAACCAGCACATTTAGCTTTAACCTAAAATATTTAGCCCTGAGACAGCTAAGTATTTAGCTTAACTAAAAATTGTGTTTGAAGTGAAATATTAAGCAAACAAGATAAAGATGTAATTCTAGCCTAAATATTTAGCTCTGTGCTAGCTGAATATTTTTGGCTCGTAAGTAGGTTCACTCTGGAGCCGACGAATAATTTAAAAACAGGATTTATAATCTCTACAAAATGTGTACAGGCCTTCAAGTCTCCTCCAAGTCACTTTATATTTTGCACTTTATATTTTGCATAATCCATTTGTTCCGTAACGTCTCTCGGCACACTTGACCTTATTGTACCACCACTTAACGTTTCCTGTCGCACCGATACGAGTTCTTTCAAATGTCAGTCTGATTCATGTCCAGGTCCCACCTTAAATGCACACAGCTATAAAACATCCACACAGAAGTACAGGTGAAAAGTGCTCTATATGTGTATTGGCACATGTTCCACGGATAAAAGGAAGTGCGGACAAAGCAGGAACTTCAACACCCACGCTCCGCAGTGCAGGGAGCCCAGCTGGGACACGCCCTGCTGTCCATCCCTCTGTGCAAATACATGAACTTTGAAGTATGAAACCAGGCTGCGTGGGTCACTCAAAGTATTTCTAGACCTCTTCCAGAAATGATTTTCTTTCTCAGCTCAGGCTCATCTTTGAACACTAGAAACTGAAATAAAACAAAGACATTTATTCCTATTTGTAGATTTCTTGGTCGTTCAGACGGGTGGAGCGTTCCACCGTCTGTCGGTTTGGTGTGAGGCGAAGCTTGAATATGTTGGGAATTATCAACCATTGCTTCTGCCGTCGTTCACGGTGAAGAACACATCAGGTATAAAGTGACTTGAAAACCCTGTCAGAGTTCATCTCCTTAAACTACGAGGAATCTGTGGTGATCAAAGCTAAAAAAAATAAATATATATAACGTCTTTGTACAAGAATAAAGTCAAAATAAGGAGCATAAAGCAATAAAATTACATGGATAAAGACAAATTGATACAAAAATAAAGTTTATTCCCAGCTATGAGTTTATGAATGTTTTTAAAACCATGTTCTCAGTGTAGCCCTATCAATGGCAGTAGATTATTTTCAACAGCCTGATCAGAACTCTTCTAATTCACTGAATCTGACCGCAGTAACCATGAAACCAGTTCTAGTGACAGTTTGGCTCCATGGATCCACAACAAACTAAAGTGTCGGAAAATGATCCGGATCGTCTTTAAAAACATAATTCAGTCTTTCGTCTGAGGCTGGCGTAAAGTTTCAGGTTTCGCGGACGAGCATCCCGTCAACACACACGATGAAACACACACACGAATGAGACGAACTGCGCGTACACACACACAGAACAGCATAGATTTATCATTTGTGTGCATTAGACATTTATCACACACTGATCACTGCTGATGCTGGAGGAAACAATGGGATTTAATGCTTTACAGGCTCAGACTGCAGCGCAGAATGTTAATAGTTGGTTTTCTTTTATTTTCTGACTCAGATTTTTCCTCGTCTTTGATTTTGACATTAAATTGAGGTTTAGAAACATGAACCACTGACACTTCAATCACGCTCTGGGACAAGCCACACGGGTTTGGACACACCATTCATTTAAATGTTCCTCTTTTCCAAACTCAAATCCTGAGGTCTTTACTCTTGTTTCGAAATAAACAATGATACACAAAATATAGATAAAAATATAGAGTAGATATTTCTGCCATTCTTGGTTTTTATTTATCTTTTTTTATGTGAGAACTGGAACTAACACAGACAAGGAGGAAGGACTCAAGTAATGAAGGGAGGTAGGACACAAGGAAGGAAAGAAAGACTCAGTTTAATCAGGGACAGAGGAAACAGAAGTAAGGATGGAAGGAAGTATTTTAGGAAGCAAGGAAAGGACGCACAGACACATGGACGACAAGATGGACACAAAAACGCCCTCTGTATATTTTTGAGACTTTTATTCTGAAGTAAGAAAGGAAGTGACAGTTGAACAGTTGTTGTAAAGGCTGACATTTTTGAGCTTTCCATCATGTTATAATGTAATTCGCTCATTGAAAACATATCTGGAGTTCTGAAAGAGCAGGAGCTTCTTAAAGAGACAGAGGCCCAATTTCAAGGAGTTAAATTATGAAGTCAAATCTCTTTTAAGTTGTGTTTGATATACACAGTAACAGCTGGACGTCACGTTTATAGTGCTATAAAATGGAATTATGTGCCTGGAAAACACAAATACATACGGTATAAACGTTTAGTTTGCTGTATTTTGAAAGCTCATAAACCTTGTAAACTGGATCTATTGCCACATCTTTATTTTGTCAGCATAACATGAATACAATAGCTTCATGTCTCATCAGTGAAGCGCCATACGGAAACTTGTACATTCTAACCTTATGCTTACATCACACAGTTATAGCTACGACTCGTAAAGAAACCCTTCACGCCTTTGCCCCGGTGCCCTGGGACGCGTCTACTTCCTGGTGACGAGCTGGTGGACGGCGGCGCCCTCCATCCCCTCCTCCTCCGCCAACACCTTCCTCTGGAACTCCTGAAGGACCAAACGGGAGAGCTGAGAAATCACGGGATTTTATTTTAAAGGATAAAGCGGAATAGCAAAGATAATCAGAGAAAACAGATCAACAAGCTGCAGTGTTTCTCAAACCAACACAGAGTTTTGACTTTTCAGACTCAGAAACGTCCTGGTCCTGAAAATGTCAGATTTTTTTATTTATTTTTATTTTGGGTGGAAAACTCTGAATAAAAGGGAAACAAGAAAAGGAGAAAAATAAAAAAGTCAGAGACGAGAGGCAGATTGAAATGTGAAGAAAAAGTCTCTTCAGCTCACTGATCTGTTCTTTTCTTGTTTTAAGCTCCATCAAAGAAACGGTTCATATTTTCAATATGCCTGTTTCCTGTCCAGCCTGTCATCTTATTGAACCAACGAAATAAATCAGACTTTTCTGTTTGTTGGATTTGGTTCCTTCCATTCGTCTCTCACCCTGAAGTCGCGGAGTCTCGTCCGTCTGTCCTGCAGAGTCTTCTCCTGGCTGGACGTCACTTCTGCTATGTGCGTCCTCCACTGCTGCTCTCTTTCCTGAAACACCAGTTTCACACACGCACCAGTTCAAACAGTCAACGGTGATGAACTGCTGAATGCACTGTTAAAAAAGATCAGTTGGAATGTTTGTGTGATTGAATCAAAATGACTTTTCTTTGTGCAACGTGTTTTAAGTTGGCACTAAGGTGCATATATATTGACTTTATATTCATTGGTTTCCTGGCACTTTCTTGGCTTTTAAGTTGGACCGATTGCAGTTATCTGTAAAAAGTCTGATCACCGATTGCAATCTTGGCTGATTTGGATTTTCTAGTGTGGAACGTGGCTAAATATATCAAAAAAAATTGTTGACTTGGCAACAGTGCAGTTACTATGGTATACATGCAGACATTGACCTGTTGGACTGCCAGACCAAAAGAGGACCGAGATTAATCTTTAGACCTTTGACAAGCTGGATAAGATCAGTTAGATTTGCATGTATTGGCCGATCGCCGATGGTTACATTGTCTTGTTGTCCATCCACCCTTCCAAGTCAGTTTTCTTTTACTGTATGCTTTGGTTGCTGATGTAACCACACCAACCACACTCAATGTTTCAAGACTTCAAGACTCTGGGTGATGCTTGTAGACGATGCCAGTCTCCTCGGGTTGACAGTCAGCAAACACGTCCTGCTTCGCCCCGCGCTCCCAGACTGATGTGTCTTGAGAAGTGCTGGGAATGCTGGCGGTTTACCCCTGACCTCACGTTGCTCCCTCGTGGATCCGGTTCCCTTCTGTTTGTGTGCTTTTCAGGAAAAGTTGTAAAAGACAGAGAGGACTGGAAATATGTTCTCCTTCTGTATAGACGGTCTTGACATGGATACATGTGAAACGGCCGGTTGCGATTGCTCCAAATGACCTTGGCCTGCCATCGATTAACATTTCTGTCATGCTGCGTACTTGTGTGTATGTGCGCGGGTGTTTCAACAGCTGTAGCGGGTGGAGGAAGTTGATGTGAGCAAGGGAGACATTTAGCTCAAATATCTGTCACTTTAAGGCGGAAGGCGAGTTGACACACATGTGGAGGAGGTGAAATCAGGCAAACCTCCACATCCACAAGCACTTACTTGAGTGTTACTCTTGCCAGTAGAACTTATTCTCCATGTGTAATAAAGCTAACTTGTCCAATCTGTTCATGTATATGACGTTGATTTAGCTTCAGAACTGAGAAGAGAAAAAAGCACCACGGCTGCAGATTAATAGATAAATTCAAAGTATCATCTGCGTAACGCATAAAACCTTCTTGCTGGGGCATTTACGGAATTTACTTGAAGGCGTCGCTCGGTCCACCCAGGAGTTTTGCACAGCTGAATGGTTGCCATGGGAGATTAAAGGATTTCTCAAACAAATCTTAACTTTTAGGATTTAGGTCATGCAATCGAAAGATGTTCACCGGTATCCAGATACCGGTGAACGCTCAACCAACCAGCCAATCTACCTACTTTCCTCCCCATCTATCTACCTTCATACCTACTTTGTGGCATAATAAAAAGCTGTATGAATATGCAATATTTACTCATTTTTCTCTTCTCCAGAGGGCTGGTGAAATTTTGTTTTCTCATTTCTGAAACAGATTATTCCTCTAACTAACCTTAAAAGTGCATTTCTAGTTACATTAGGTCTGTATTTGGGAGTCTGAGGTTTTGCCAAATCCCTGAAGTTCCAATAATTTGCGCCTGTACAAATCTGGTTTAGATTTCTCGTGATTAGAAAGAGAGTGCATGACTAAAAGTTTAGGTGGGAGTTTAACAGAAAGTACACAGACCTTGTTATGAGGGTAAATGTCTGTATTTCATTTGAGACCTGAGCAGAAACATTGATGGCAGCAGCAGGCCGGATCCCTCGCCGGTTTAACGGACTCCTGTCAGAAAACGAGGCCTTCACAGCTGTATTTTTGTATGTGTACATTCCACGTCCGTGACGGTGACCATCTGTTTTGGCAAGTGTGTATATTATTTTGTTTGAATCCACACGCCGAACACGCGTGAAAAAAAGATTTCCTTTTTTCCCCTAACGTGCCAAATGTGTTCCCGCCGCTGCTTCGTGTGAGTTCGTCTATGCAGGCGCGAACTACTGATAAGACTTGACTGTGGGCCAGAGTTATCTTTCCATGGGACTGAATCTGATTTAACCGGCAGCTGTGAAGCAAACCTGGACGGGTCATTAACACTCTTCGGTGCGAGTTCACTCCACCGCCGCCGGATCGTTCAGCCTGCTCCTTCTTGTCGACTGGTTAAATCACCTGGGCTGGGCTCAGATCCTCAGAGACGTCTGATAATAAACCACTTTAAAAAGCCTGACAGCCTCCTTGCAGCTTTCTAGTTGAAGTTTTAAAGCAGTGCTAGCTTAATGAAGGGTTCTGCAAGTTTCAGCCGCTTAAATGTAAGACTTTTGCATTTTACAACGGGTAGACCAAAATATTAAATGATACCTGGTGAGGCAGTCACTGGATCAATCCTCACTAAGCCTGTGTTAATAAACCCATTTCCTGTTGTTCGAGTCACAGAACCGATCCGGTTCACTCACGTCGCTTGCCAAAAATAAAATTTGTTCCCACTGTTGGTCCTGACGGCAACAGTGATCTCCTTACAAACCAGTTATTAACAGGAAGCTTCTGATAAGGGCTTCAGTCCAAACTCTGCCTCCCCAACAACCTGGCAATCTACTAACTGCGCCGACGGCCAGAGTGATCTGTCATTACACCCATGAGCTTGAGTTACTACTGCTCAGCTGCTGCATGCAACCTGTGTGTGAGACTTGGCAAAGTATGTGGTCTATCATCATGCCGGTGATGATAAATAAGCTGTCAAGGTTTCGCTCATTTCACTTTATAATTGAAGCCTCTAAGTTGAGCCAAAGTTTGGAAATAAATACTGTTTGCTTTTACAGATGTACTGACTTGTTTTGTGTGTGTGTGTGTGTGTGTGTGGGTGGGTGGTGTGTGTGTGTGTGTGTTTTTGATAACCTTCTTGCTGTCTTCTATTGCTCTGAGTCGTTCTTTTTCCTGCTGTTCCCATTCCAAGCGCCGGCGGGCCTGACGCACGCAAACATGGACAATCAGAAACGTCAACATGGCAACATTTCATGTCCTGGTTGGTGGCTGTCGTTTCTCTTACCCTCGCCACCTTTGTGTCTTTCCAGTTTTCCTCCAAAGCTCCCCGGTCCTCCGGGGAACCTCTGCTCGAGCTTCCTGACGCTCCCAGAAATGCGTAGTCCTCCTCTTTACACAAACCCCTCATTGACTAGAATCGGGCAGACAACTTGCTTCAGAACCAACCAACCAAACGTCTCAAAATGCAACTTCAATGACGCCAATGGTGGGTGTGGCATTGGCATCGTTGAAGTGCCAGACTTGGCATTGAATGCTGGGTCTGGCATCAGCCAAAAACAAGTAAAGTGAAATGTCTCCTATAGGTTGGACCCCCTGACCTTGTTCAAATGAATGGAAATTGGTGTCAAAACATTTGTGTTGCATTTGTGCAGCAGATTTTTGTGTTTGAGCTATCCTATCATTTGGGGAAAAAAAAACATCAAAAAATGTGTCCAGAGGTCATCAAAGGTCAACCAGTCAGTATTCATTTACAAAAAAAATCGAACAAACTGCAGAGCCAGTCAACTGTGCTACGTTTGTGCCGCAGCAAAATTTGTTTGTGCCGTGATCATTTTTGAGATTCTAAAAAGAATATAAAATATTTGAAACGCAGCACAGCCACTTGCTATAGAAAGTTCAAAATGCAGAGGTAAGATTGTTTTTCTTTAATAATGAATTTTTATTTGATCGTATTGGTGGTGATTAGATTTTTTAATCAAGTTAATTGCAGCATCAGAAGTTAATCACAATTTTTCACCTTTTATCTTAAAACTATATACAAACAAAATAAACGACATCTTCAATCTCTCCTGTTGTACGTAAAGCCACGGCAAGTAGCTGCTGCACAGACATCACAGGATTAAAGCAGAATTCATATGAGTTAAAGTTGAACTTCACTCACCTTAGACATGGGGATACTTTGGAATCGTTTCACATGAGTCATCGTTGCAGCAGATGGTCATACGGTCCCCTGTTACGCTGACAATGGTGATTTTTAATCTATTTTAAGTTGCGGAATGAATTCAGAGTAAATCCTGGGCCCAAGAAAAACAAAAATAATCACCCGCTCACCTGTTTGACCAGAAAAAGTGACAATCTCAAAGCTTCCTCCCTGATGTTGGGCTGTTGTGGATGCTGGATGTCTGATCGACCTTATGAAGGTTTTGGACCGATGACCGCACACTGCTTCCACTCGGGTCATTTCCACAGCACAGTGGCAAAAGTGACACTTGTTCACTAATCAAAACTCAAGCGGCTAAAAGAGAGTATGGGATCATTATGGTGGCATGTAGCAACATCCTAGCTATGAACTCACAAAGTAGCTCTTCAAGAAAAAAGTGTCACATTTTTGTAGATGGTTTGTATTTAGAGAACTAGAGTCGGAGGAGCCTGCCCAGCATGAGTAGAAGATTAGATGAATGGAGTTAGCTTATGTCATGAAAACTCAAAACATACTGGATATTACTCTCATTGCTTTTAGCTGAGGCGTGCGAAAGAGGCTTAATGGCGTTTGGGCCCTTTGGTGGGTCACATCCAACTGTGCTAGCTGAATCCGATCCAGTTAAAGTGAAAGAGAGAGCAGGGTCATAACTTTAATACTTTGTTGGCATGACTGCATGGACACTTCTCTGACCTCAATCTCTCCTTGGTCTGTACGTGTGTGTGTACGTGTGTGTGTGTGTACGTGTGTGTGTGATGCCTTAGCTAAGCGCAGGAGCCGTTGTTAGACATTGTTGTTGACCCAGCTGTCGTGCGTCCGGGTCGATTGTCCACGTTACATTTTTAGATCAGGATTTGGACTCAGTTTGTTGCTTGGTTTTTATAAAAGTCGTGATTAGCTTCGGACAAGTTTAGCATGTCGGGAAGTTTTACCCGACATGCTTCACTGTAAAAACCTTAAAGTAGCAAACTCAAAGTAAATGTGGTCAAATGCCTAAAGCATGATGTAACTGATGTAAGCAATACTACCAGCAAAGACCAGAAAATATTTAATCTGAACTCTCACTATGTACACAGACAACCTGCAAAGTTTATCTGATGAACGTTTCATGAGAAACACATAGATTCATGTACATGCCTGCAAAAATTCCTGCATTTATCTCCAGAAGAGATGTGACGATGCAAAAAAATATATATATATATTTTTTTTTTACCTAAAAAGGGTCTTAAACCCAGAATGGTAGAATTTCTTTCAACAAGATTCATAAAATATGAAATTTTGTCCCAATTCCTCAGGAAAATAATCCACAGTTCAGCTTCAGGTATTGATTATAAAATCTTAGCTTAGGTAATGCTATTAGCAAAACAATAATTCAAACTTCCAGGTAAAATATCCACAAAGTAGCTGAACTAGTAACATCTACTAACTAAAGTGAAAGAATAATGGAAATTAATAAACTACCAAAAGTTAAACAGTAAAAATAAATAAATAAAAAATACAAATACAAATGAGAATAGAACCAATAAAATGATGTAATGATGTTTGGGGCGATCTGTGATTGTTGATAAACCAGATTTTTTTAAGGGGGCAGTATTATTTAAAATCGTGTTACAGTGTTACTCCCTCTTCATCTAAAACATACCTGGATGTTGGAGAAAGCCTTCCATGTCCCATGGCTATCGTGGTAAACGCCTTGGTGGACGTAGCCCCGCCTTCGAGACGGAGCTCCTCCTCAGTTTCCAAGCCGACATTTCGCAGCGCGCTCCCTCCCACCACTAACCTGACACTTATCAGTTCAACGCTGGTTAAAAAGCGTTCCTGAAGGAGGAGCCATGTTGTGATGACTTCCTGGAGGCGGAGTTTCAGAGACAGTAGGAGTTTTTAAAGAGACAAGGCGCTAAGTTGCAGTCAAATTTCTTTCACGCCACACTTTATATGTGTAGCATTTTTATAACAACTGAAGTTAACGTGTCACTCGATTGTACTATAAAATGCACTTTGTGGCTGGAAAAAAGGTGAAACTTGCTGTAAGTTCACACCCAGATCTGTATCGTAGAAAAAGATCACGTAAGGTTTAGTGTAATTGAATGTGAAACAGTGAGAAAGATGTTTGTCTTTTTAGATGTGAAGATCTAGTTTCAACTGTAGATCCATCTACAAACATCAAATGCACCTTTAGTAAAGAGCTGAATATAATATTTAAGCTTTAAAAGTGGAACTGTAAAGCAAACTAGGAGGAAAAATAATGTGGCGTCAAATAGATGTCAAAACAAAGTTAATGTCATCTATTTTGGTGAGACAAGCGTGAGGCCAGTGTTGTTGTTTTTTTGATTGAAAGATAAAGTTCATAATAAGGAAGAAAAGATAAACACAGAGTTTTATGACCAAACTGGGGCGTCCGAGCAGCGAGAGCCAACAACGGACTATTTCTGGCTCCCAGGTCAAGGTTCTGCTTGAGCAGCGACTAAAATAACATTTAGTCAAATGCTTGTGGGAGCGCGGCTTCTGTTGAGACCATCTCTCCTCGCCGAGGCCGAGGGCTCAGACATGTCTCGCGGTCCTGCACAGCGGCGGCGGCGTGACCAGTCCTGTCGGAGTTGACGCGTAGAATAAATAATCCGAACGATCCTTGGGTTTCAACGAGTTCTCTGCAATTTTTTTTTTTTTTAAACAAACACACAGAGCCCCAGCTTTGAGAGGTTAAATCGTACAACACCGTTCACATCTCTGTAAAAACAATTTGCAGCATGCAAAGTAGGTTTTCAGGGGCATTGGAGATGCTACATAAATCAGCGCTCAGGGATTCATTCAGTGTAAAAACATAAGGAATTCCCGGCACACTGTGAAGCAGCAGCTGTTGTGGAATCGGATTTATCGGAGTGTGTGCATTTGTGCTGCAGGAGGAAAGTTTTTGTCATTATTTCTTGTTTAACAGTTACAGTTGTAGGCCTTCTCTCACTATTTGTAACATTAAAACAATTCTGTATGCATCAGTCTCTGACATCATCAGTAGAGCGGGTGTTTAAAATGAACTCATCTTCCCTTTGTTTGGGAAATGTGTTTTGGTGTTGAGTCCTGATATGTCAGGTGAGCTGTTGTAAGTCAGTTGCTATGGCAACGAGTCTGAGTGTAGCGCAGCCCGGCACAGAAAGCAAAGAAAAATAAGAATATGTTTTTTTTTCTGTGTTTTTCCTCTTGGCTGTGGTGTTATGCACGCTTCAGTTGTTCTGCCGTGGCTTTTTGCCCCCGGCGTTCTGCTCACGCACAAACTGACTGAAATGAAACAGTATCACCTGAAAACCCTCTAATCACTCACATTTCTTTTTTTTTTTTTCCAGTTTGTATTGTTTTTTTTAGGTCCATATCGAGCTTTAACCATTTTTTTGTTTTCGATTATTGTCCTTTTGCTTGTCACTTGTGTGCAACCTGGGAAGCTAAAGCTAAAGCTTGACTTGCCGGCGTGGAAAACGAAAGCTGACGCCGTTTTAGCCTCCGGGGAACTTCAGAGCACTTTGTGAAAGTGAAAACAAGTCAGAAACATTCAGTGGGAAAGACCTGCACACACACACACACACACACCACACACACACCACACACACACACACACACACACACACACACACACACACACACACACACACACACACACACTGCTGCTGCAGCAGCAGAGCAAAAAAAAAAAAACTAAGTCAGCTTTAGCATATGCTGAAAATCCTATAAGTCAGCCGCCATAACAACAAGAGTCTTAGTGCCAACATCCATCCTGTTCATTTCATATAGCATAGCCACAAATCCAGACATCATCAGGGTATTAGGATTGAACAGGATTTGAGGATTGTCTTTAAAAGCAATGGCTTCCAGCAGGAGAGAACTGCATCCATATTTGGCCAGGTTGAAAAGTCTTCAGCTTGTCTTTTTTTAAAAATGTCTCAATGAATAATCATGAAGCCTAGCTTGGCCTCTGCAGACCTTTTAAAGTAAAGTCCTTACCCACTCTAGATAGATAGATAGATAGATAGATAGATAGATAGATAGATAGATAGATAGATAGATAGATAGATAGATAGATAGATAGATAGATAGATAGATAGACAGACAGACAGACAGACAGACAGACAGACAGACAGACAGACAGACAGACAGACAGACAGACAGACAGACAGACAGACAAATGCTTGGGTAGGGTTTAAAAATCAGCCTAATCACACCATGTCCACTGTGAAGCAAGCGGTGGTAGCGTCATACGGTGGGAAGCCTGGTTGAGCTACAAATATTTAGAGGAAGACAGAGGAGCTGCACAAAATAACAATCCGAAAGAAAAAAATCAACATGTATGCGTTCGTTAGGACTTTTGTTTGGAGTGGCTCAGTTAAAGTCCGCACCGAAATCCACTTGAGAAGTTGTGGCAACATAAAAATGGAGATCATTCTGAGCTTTTTCGTAAAGAAGAATGGACGATAATTTCAGTCCGTTGTCCATTTTTCAGATTTGTATTTTTACAAAAAATTGAAATGAAACCAATCTAGAGTTTTCCGTTCCATTGGTTACAACGTGAGATAAGAGTTTGCATAACGTCTCAATAAAGTAAAACTGATCTTGTTTTAGTGCTTTTGGTTTCCATGACCAGGTTGCGATTGCCGCCCAACATTCTGCATCTTCGTTTATGACACTCTGAAGGACCAGGAACTGAACTTCATCTCAGACATATGATGACAGATGAGATGGAACTAATTCAGTATGAAGCTGTGAACTTTGCTCAGATATATTAGAATGAATTCGCTGCTTGTTAAGGATGAATTGGCATGTCGCTGTTGCTGCAGGGACCCAGTGGGGGGTGGCGGGGGGGGGGGGGTGCTGCGTTCAGTGTCACGTGTTCAGACTGCAGGGCAGCGACCAAACAGCTCAGCACACAGGAACATCTCATTACCTCTTTTCTGTGACCCCAGTCTTTCTGCTGTCATTCGCTGCGTTTCCATTACAAACGTAGAAAAAGAAAACCTTGTCAGAGTAGCAGTTTAGCATTTGCAGTGTTTCCATTCGATAAGAAACGCGATTAATAAAATCACATGTGGACGAGCGATGTGCCGCGCCGCGCCGCCGTCCTCCTGCTGCTTCCTGTCGTCTTCTTCATGGTGGCTGGTGCCAGTAGTGAAATCCGGTTGTTGATCATGTGACTCGTGTGACGTGAAAAAAAGTGTTTCCATC